TGCTATCCCCTGATTCAAAGTCCAATACGAAGAGCATACCAATACACTTTCAATAGTGTGCATGAGACAATGCAACTCTCACTGTTATTGAAATAAAAGACAGAATTCCTTTGAATGTCCTAGTTTTTTAACACTTTATACTGAATGTAAAAATATTCCATTGCAAGTCAAAAGTCCTGCATTTGAAATTCCTCTTAGTTAAAAGTGTTAAATCAAAATCTCCTTAAAGTAACACAACTAAAAGCACTTGTTTGCATTAATGTGTATCAGTATTTGTGTTTTAGTTGTGTTTATTAGACTTGTAACTAAAATACTCTTATGATTTATATCAGATATCAGAAACTGCAACTACTTTGCACACTCCTATAATGTATAAAGTGTCCTATGTTTATAAATGCATCTGAAATGGGTTATAATGAGTACTTTAACTTTGGGTCAAGTATATTTTTAATGACAATGCTTTTTGGTAAGTAAGATTTTGAATGCAGGACTTTTACTTGTAACAGAGTATTTAAACAAATGAGTATTGCAAGTTAAATATTATTTACTTCTTTCACCACCGCGTCAATGACATGTCTTGTTTCTGCACCATTTACTTGTTATATCATTATAAATTATTCAACTTAACAACAAAGCAGCAACGAGCCAAGCCTCAAACGTTGAATGAATGAACAGATCTGAGTACTTCCTCCACCAAGAGTCACCCTGCTGATACAGGGAGTGGCCTCCGCCCTCACATTACACTTCAATTAAATTCAAATGTATTTATATAGCCCAATATCACAAATCACATTTGTCTCAGAGGGCTTCACAAATCAACAAACACGAATGATAATGTAAAAACAACCAACATATCTGAGAATATGATAAAATGACAAGATAAATGTGGAAATACCAATGAATGGGTACAAAACACAATGACACAAATACAGTTAGAATACAATCATTACAATTCTATAAAAGGAAGGATCCATGAGGATGTTTAAAAGGGAGTTTAAAACCAGTCCTAACTGTACGCTGTGCTAAAGAGGAAAGTCTTCACCCTCCTTCACTTGCCTGATATCCGGTTGTGCTGAACTTGTGTTTGTATGCTGACCCCCTGTGGTTAACCTCTGCTGTGATCACATCAACATCTGTATCTCTGCTGTCTGCCTCTCTCTCCCCGTCCACAGCGTCTCTCCACGGCCCCGAGGCGTCCTCCATCAGAGCCTCATTTCCTCCACCGTTGTTTACATACGGTGCCTTTGAGGAAAGGCTGAGGACACACAGGGTTACTCATTGCCAGGAAAAGGTGTGTGTGAGGGCAGAAGAGAATATTTTTAAACAAGACAAAGCTTTGCAAGAGTGGAGGACGTAATGAGAGACATTGTGTGCTTTGTTGTCTTTTTAAAAGGTGCACTTAGAATTTCTATTCAGGGCGAACTCCATATGAATGTGTGGTCAATGTATTGCACCAAAGAGAAGCTGAATCATGATAAATTATAGGATTAGTTAAGACCGTTTTGGCTTCTGAATTAAGCATGTTTTAGGTATATCGGCTTGTCACCTGTTTCACGTGTCTACTGGTTGTAAACAGCTCAAACAAAGATCATTTTGAGGTGATTTGATGTTGATCTTTGTAGAGAATAGCATGTCAAAATGTATATCCTAAGCTAGTTTGCAAAACCACAATATTAGCTTTTAAATACATAAAACTGAAGAAGAAAATACACACAAAACTTCACAAAACAAGTAATGATACAACAAACACCACATCATTCATTACTACACAAGTGTTTTTTTTAAAAAACTGCTTCAACTCGAGATTGAATGAATGACGTTTGAGTAAGTACTGACTAAAGTTCTTTACTCAAGTAAAAGTAAAGAGGCTTTGAAATGTACTTAAGTAAAAAGTACCCATAACTAGCAGCTGTTTTAAAGAGTACCTGACCTCCCTTTATATTAATAGAACAATAATGTCATTGTTAGCTAATGAATGTTTCCATGCTGAACAACGGCAACATGACAACGTTTTCATTGGTCCCTCTTCTTTAGAGAAGACCAGGAAATGATGGATACACGGATCGTGTTCAAATCAATAGGCACGCAATGACTCTAAATAATAATGATCACGCCACCAAACACACATTCAAACTAAAGGAACCAGCCTGTTTGGGAAATGTAAGAAGTAGAAAGTACAGGTATTTGTGTTCAACATGTAAGAAGTAGAAAGTACAGGTATTTGTGTTCAAAATGTAAGAAGTAGAAAGTACAGGTATTTGTGTTCAAAATGTAAGAAGTAAAAGTAAAAAGTCGTCAGAAAAATAAGTAGTGGAGTAAAGTACTGATACCAGAAAGATGTACTTAAGTACAGTAACAAAGTATTTGTACTCTACTACTTCCCACCACCAAAGATTTACGGACGCGTACCTTACAGTTTCCACCGATGTACAGTGCCAAACTCTCTGAGAGGTACCAGGTCACAGAGCACCTGAGGATCAGGACTATACAGGCATTTATAGACGATTCAATAAAAGTAGTCAAATGTAATATTTTAAATGTCGTCAGAATGTGGCATTGGTAAGATTTAGAGTCCAAATTGTAATTGCATAGCATTTAAATACTATTTTGACATAATTGTATCGTACTTGAGTATTTTCTATGTTACATATACAGTATTTCTCCCCCAGTACATTTCGGAGGTAAATATTGTACTTAACATATAAAGTCATAATGCAGTGTACTGTACTACTCATCTACAGTCTTTTAACAGTAGTGTTTAATAAGTAACTTAATTGGATCAACATTGACAAGCTAGAACACTACATTCACAGTACTTTTACTATTACTACCTACTTCTAAGTACTTTTAACATAAAAATAACATATGCTTTTTCGTCATGTGGCAGTAGGCCTATTGTTCTACCTAGTTACTCTTTTTAATTAGTTCGTTTTGCACTTGTATTTTATTCTACAAAAATAGCTCGACTTTGACAAACTGGATAATCATAATGATATACAACAAAAAATATATAACTTTTACTTAAGTAACACGTTCAGAGCTTTCACTACCACAATATTTTCATTTCCCATAAGTAAAGGATGTCAGTACTTCACACACCACTGTATATTTATACGCACTAAATACAGGTCAGGTAGCCAGGCAGTGAAGCAGCAGAAAGTGTAGCATCTCAGTGACAGTGACACCATTAGTCTCACACACTTCAGCTCCAGTTACACAGTAATGCGGGTGTGAGTGTTACACCAGGACTCATCTGACATCAATTCCCACAGCATGATTACAATCTGAAGTATTTCCTTCTGCAGAGTTGAGTTACTCCGAAGAATGTGTCTCAATTCTCTGTAAGCTACTTTGTCTCAATCAGATATTTAACCATTTACTCATAAGAGAAGAGACATTTATATACACTGCTGTTGCTAAACTAAAAGCAGGAGTGAGTGTTATTAAAGTGGAGTGTGGTGTTCACGATCATATCCATGTTAGAAGCATGAAAGCAAACGCAGTCACATGAGCAAACACAGAGAGGATCACTTCTGTTCAACATCAAACACGAGAGCTTTTCTCACAGTGTCATACCTGTTTACAATCACTGTCTGTTTCCCACAGTAACACACTCAAGATGAGAGGAGATTATATAGCAATTGCAGCACTTTAAACCATTTAAAGACTGATTAAGGGTCAGTAAAAACCGGCCTCCTGGTAGCTTTATAGTCTCAGTAAAACAACAAATGGATCACATTATATGATTACCTGAAGTGAACACATGTAAACATTACACACTCACATCTCAAAACACCAGCAATTATTCTTTAATTAAAAAATGATAGACTGTACCTGGGCTTGGTTGGATCCATTTTGTTTCACACAGTCATCTTTGGTTTCTATTAGCTTTCTCCTCCTTCTCTCCGTGTGATCGGTTCCTCCCTCTCTTTTCATTTCACCTGCACCATGCCCTCTGCAACTGGCCCGACGGGAACAACCTGATTCTGCAGCCGACAAATCAGCGCTCAGGGCCGGTTAATGTGTCGCAGTTAGTGAGGAGGAGGTTATTGTTGCACGTCAATCATACTTATTGATACCGCTGGGCAAATGTTAGGAAACCGTTTCAAGCAGGTGATTGGGAGGCGCGTGGCGCAGTGGGCTGTGCGTTGGTGTTCGGATCAGGGGGTCCAAGGTTCAAACCCCACTGCAGTCAGCATGTTGTTGTGTCCCTGGGCAAGACACTTCACCCCAAATTGCTCCTGTGGTGATTGTCCACAGTATTGAGTATGTAAGTCGCTTTGGATAAAAGCGTCTAACAAGTAACATGTCATGTAATGATTAACAGTCTTAAGCAGCAGGGTTTTATTTTTCTGCACAACTGGAAATGATGCATTGATATGAACTTGAGAATCTGGTGTTTGATAGTAGGCCAACAGTAAAAGGAAAGTAGAGCAGTGATCGCAGGTAACATGAGGAGAGTTATGGGGAAGTGGACGAGCTTAATAAAGGTTGATACAAAACAGAATAAACAGTGGAATATGTAGCATTCATTACAAAAGTGACTCAATATATAACGCTCCATTTACAAAAGTAAATAAGTTGTGATGCATTCATGTGGAAGCAGCAATATGTTGGAGTATTGAAGTTATTATATAATTTATTTTTTTAATGTTTATTTATTAAGGAGTGTCTGTATCTTAAAAAAAAGATATTAAAGCAATGTCGTTAAACAGTTAAGTCATGCATAACTTGATTAGAAAAACAAGTTGTGATTTGTGTTGAGGTTATCTTGGGATGAAGACCGTCAGCATGCCTGAGGTTAAACACACACACACTTACATCCCAAACACACATCCCAAACACACACACACCCACATCCCAAACTTACATCCCAAACACACACACACACACACACACACACACACACACACACACACACACACACACACACACACACACACACACACACACACACACACACACACACACACACACACACACACACACACACACACAAATCAGATTTCCTTTACATTTATTAAAAGTTCAGATATGTATAAAAGATACTTCATAGACTGCTCGACTCAATACATTTCTCTGTTTGTTATAATACAGTTTGATACAGGGTAGAAGTGCAAAGGAGTGCCACGTCTTCAGTCTGAGGGAGTGATTTATATCTGCATGCTGAGACTGGTATGATATACAGTAAGTTGACTTTGCAGAGGCAGACTGAGACGGGCGTGTCCGGTTTTCTCTCACAGTTGAACGCTTAATGCTCCTATGATGGGGCTTAAAAGAATGCTAGTGGCTCACGCTAAGTAGGAACTACCAACTTCCTTAAATTTGTTTTTGTTCCTATAAAACTTTTAAGGAAGAATGATTCAACAATGTGACCAGGAACTAAAATTAAAACATTACTAGTTAACTTAATGGTTGAGACTGAGCACTTGATTTTGCACTTCCCTCCCTAAAAACAAACAAAAGACAAGTTAATAGAGTAGATGAACTTAACAGGCCTAACAATGTGATATAGAAAGGGATAACTAGTTCTGTTCAATGAAAAATGCCACATGATTATGATTCAGTAAAGAATGCCACTGTCAATACTCAAATCCTGAATGCATGTGGTAGAATAAAAACCCCACTATGAAATCATACATGATACAATGCCCTCATATTTTAAAATACAAACTGTACAACAAAAGATAATCAGCGCGTCTTAAAGAAGTTTTACTCCGTCTTAGAGACTTCGTTTGACATTTTGGGAAATACAATTAGTAGATATCTTGCAGGGAATAGCAGAATAGTTTATGGTTGCATGGTGAATACAAAGCTGTAGCCTGTTAGCTTATCTAAGCAAAACAACCGGAAACAGGGGGAAACAGCACAATGCTCCAACACAAGAAATATTTCCGGAGAGTAATTGCACAGTGATAAACATCTTCATGGAATAGTTTGGGATTTTAGGAGAATACACATTTTAACTTTGTGGCAGAGAGTACTCTAGGTGCCAGATTCTACAGGTGCACCATAGAGAGGATCCTGGCCGTTGCAACACCCTCAATCGTAAGGCTTTACAGAGGGTGGTGAAAACTGCACAGCACGTCACCAGGACGGAGCTGCCATCCATGGAGGACCTTTACTCCCAGCGGCTCAGGAAGAAAGCCCTCAGGATTATAAAAGACCCCCATCACCCCAGCCACAAACTGTCTGCTGCATCAGAAAAAATACCCATGGACAGTTTCATCCCACAAGCCATAAGACTTTTTTTTTATGTCTTGTTATTGCACTGTTGAGGAACCTGCGATCTAAGATTTTCAAACATTTCATAACAACACCGTAGTTGTGTATATGTTAGGACAATAAACCTTTGAATCTTGAATTGAGACAGCTACTGCTCCCAGACCAGATATAGTCCAGTGTTATGCAATAAAACCTCAGAAAAACAGCACGTTTTCACATTTTCCCCTTTGGATTTTCATCAGATGAAATAAAAAAGATATATAGACAGCATTAACGGAGTTGGTAGGTGGATGTTGTTAGCATAGGACAGACCTAAGCATTTACAGTCTTTATGCTAAGATAACGGCTTCTAGCTTCTAGAACGAGAAGACAAGAGTTCAAAAATCCAAAAAGCTCCAAAATACCTTTAAAAAAAATGTACAGGGCTAAACGTTTTTCTTTCAAATGTAAGGCAGAATTAATCTGTGCAAAAAGAGTCAATGAGTCTCTCCTCCTGACACATTTGTCCATCTGTCTCTCAGTAGTTTGACCTTGTCCTCTCACATGTGAGGCAGGAGGTAGAGTGCTCAGTGAAGCTGGTGTGTGTGAAATTAACCTGCTGCTGCTGGTGGTAGCACCGTTTCAGCTCGAGTGCTTTGAGGCTCTGGAGAGTACAATACTTGGTTTCATGAGCTTCATGTTCCACTTGGCACGCGTTGCAGATTTACTGAATGCCGTACTTTGTCTCCAGCTCCTCGGCGGCCCGGCCCAGGTGCATCTTCCTCAGTTGGTCCAACAGCTCCTGCAACAAGGGCCAGTGCAGCATTGTTCCTCCTCCTCTTCCTCCTCCTCCTCCTCCTGAACGAGACCCTTTCTCCGCCCAAACCCTCAGCATCTGGTAGTGGGCCTCGCGGCAGGATCTGTGGTCCGCCTCCGCCTGTTCGATCTCTGTGTCCGTCACACCGAGGGTTCGCACCAGCTGCTTCACCTGCAGCACGGGAACCAGATCCAGCACCGTGTAGATCAGCTCAGGGACTGCAGGAGGAGGTGAGAGTTAGCACAATAGGTCAACAAGTGTATTGTCAATCTTTCAGTTTGTGTGTACAGACAGAGAGATCGACTCACATATATATCAATATTCCAATTACTATATAGACTATTCTGCACAGTTTCTATCATAATCTGTTTCTATTATATTCGATTTTATTGTATTTACTTGCACTATTATCTGTGTTATTGTGTTGCACTGTGGGAGGAGCCTGTGACCTAAGATGTTCATTGTCATATCTACACTGTAGCTATGCACACATGACAATAAAAGCCTTGAAACTTGAAAATACCGCTTCCCACAATCCCGAATACAAAAATATATAAAAATATGTATACACCTATATACACACACAATCAACAGACACATTTATACACACATTAAGACATAAATAAAAGCACAACAATCGATATATACAAAATAACAGTCACTTCAATATCTTTGAGGAATGTACATTAGTGCAATTAGACTGTCCATAGCAGCGTAAAAAAGTGTCTGTGTTTCTGTATGTTGGACAGAAGCATGCAGTGTGAACTAAGTAAGTACGTTTTTCACAGACAAAGTCACAAAGTGCTTGACAAAACATTAAAACATCATAGGAATCATAAAATAATAAATGACCACACAAGCCACGTGTTAAGAAGTGCTAAAAACACAATAATAACTCCACTCACTCTTGACTTCCAGCGGGACGCAGTCGGGCAGATTGGGCGGCTCCTGGTCACTCACAGCACTTAGAGGAAGAGCCTTATCACTCTGGATATCTGCAGACTCCACAATGAGGGTCAGGAATTGCTATGAAACAAAAACAAAATGTAATGTTATTGACTGTTTATGTACGTCCAGCAGAGGTGAAGTACTCACATGTTTAACTTAACTAAAAGAAGCAAGAGAACAGTTTGAAAAATGCAAATAAAGTCTCGATTTCGAAGTATTAGTAATAAAAGAACATAGATATTAGCATTGAAATAAACTGTATATCTAAGTGCTAACAAGTCAAAATGCTCACTATGCAGTTAGGCACTTTTTAGGGATAGTATTAACCTTAATACCACTGGATTTAAATGTATCAGAAGCACAATACTTTATTTTTCTATAAAGTAATTGGGTTTCGTGACATATGCTCCATTTAACCCTCCTATTGTCTTCGTTTTCCCCCCTTACTTTGGTGTTCACAGTCAAATTTGACTGGTCCTGTTTTAACTGCTATTACATTAACACAAAAACCATTAATCATCACCACATTTCCTTTAACACCCTTTCAAACTGTACATATTGTATCAGACTACTGGTATACATGAACAAATGCAGTAAATATACAAAGAATAGACACTGAACATGTATTGTGTGTGCCAGGTGTGATCCATGTGGGGGGATGGGCACATAAGAGCGGGAAATGTGTCAAATTGTTGTGTGTGTGTGTGTGTGTGTGTGTGTGTGTGTGTGTGTGTGTGTGTGTGTGTGTGTGTGTGTGTGTGTGTGTGTGGTGTGTGTGTGTGTGTGTGTGTGTGTGTGTGTGTGTGTGTGTGTGTGTGTGTGTGTGTGTGTGTGTGTGTGTGTGTGTGTGTGTGTGTGTGTGTGTGTGTGTGTGTGTGTGTGTGTGTGTGTGTGTGTGTGTGTGTGTGTGTGTGTGTGTGTGTGTGTGTGTGTGTGTGTGTGTGTGTGTTTTATCTGATCCGGATGGTTACTAATTCCTTTTCTTTATGGCTAAATGACCGGGAACACCATGGGTGTTACAAAGTTGACTAAATCATCCAAAATTCAATGAAAGTGGTGATCAGCAATTGTACATATATGTTCAAATGTCTAATGTGAAGGATATCATAAAGCCTTAATGCAATCAAATGTAAAACAAAAAAGTTATGATTGATGAAAGTAGTAAATCGGTCAGATTTGACCCGAAGACAACAGGAGGGTTAAAAATGAACAAAAATATATTTAAAAAAAATGCATAAAAAATCTTATATAACATAAGAAGCTAAAGTAAACATGTGCAATAAAAAAAGACAAATAAAGATATTTATTTAACCATAATAAATGAAAGTAAGAATATGCTGACGTGTTATTGTGTTAATGTTAATGTTGCAGCTGGTAAAGTTGATTGCTTATAAATACTGCTGGGTGCCATACCATCATTTCGATGTTGATTGACATTTTGTAATAATAATCTAAACCTGCAAAGTAATTTGTAAGTATAAAGTTCAATGATGGCTTCCAAAATGTGATGAAGTAGAAAGTAGAAATTAATGGAAATACTCAATTTGTTTGTACTTTACAAGTCCAGCACCTAAAGTACTTATTTACACTCAACCATTGCATAGTAAAGTAACCACGGTTAGATCGTTGTACCTCGCCTGACTCCGGGCAAGGGTCCGATTCCTTCTGCATCTTCTTCTTGATAGAGCGTTTTGTGACCATGTGGGTGACGAGAAACACCAGCCCCATCGATACCAGTGACCCCGCTGCAACGCCAGCGATTATGTTGATGAGATGATCATTTCTGTGATCAGGAGCTTCAGACGGATACGAGGGGGAAAAGACATGAAGATGGAGACACGTTAAAAAAGCTGAAATGTTTTTAAAAGCCTATCCTTGTAGAGAAACCAAACAAAGACAACACAATTGTTGGATACCTATCAGATTGGTCTAATCACCTGTTTGATGCTGAGCAGGGATATAACAAGTGAAATTCAAGTCTTTTCTTGTCCTCTTTAAACATCTCATGGCAAGGAATTCAAAACATATGGCATGATCATAAAATATGGAAAACTAGCAGGGACAATACGGCCTTCAGTTATTTGTTAATATCATATGTATTTCATTATTTCCAAGCACTGTATCCATGTAATGTACATTGAAATTAATTTGTCAATTAATTAATTCCTCCTGGACACGGATAAGTACCAGAGAATTTGATAGATAATAATAATAATAATAATAATAATAATAATAATAATAGAAGACATTTGTATAGCGCCTTTCAAGGGAACCAAGGCTGCTTTACATGGTGAACAAACAAACAAACAAACAAACTAAATATAGACTGAGAAAGTAAAAAATCCTAATCCGATTTTTGTTAATTTAAGTTCCCACCTTTGTAAGTGTTGATTGCACGGCTTAGTTGAATACTCGATTCTGATTGGTCAATTTGGACATTCCAGAGATCTGTTAACTAACCGCTACTAAGGATAACAGACTGTTGCTAAGGAGGATCAGGGGGCTATGTTTATACACATAAAAAGTACGTTGTAAGTCAGTGCGGCTGTATCTCATTACACATCACACACACACATCATACTGGAACCACAGAATGATACCAGAAGCTGCATTATTCATACTACACGTGTATTTCATGGCCTTGTGATCAAGTGCTCACCTTTTGTTTCTGTAGTAATTGGCAAACAGTGGTCTTGGCACTCAGACGTACAACTGTGGAGAAAAAAAAGAGGACGTTACTCAACATTTAGGAGGAAGTCGCAAATCTTTAGACGAAGTGATTAACACAACGCACGACAGGTACTTTTTTAACAGCGAAGTGATTGTAGTCGACACTTAAACATAGTTACACAGTTACACAGAAATTGATACAAAGTGAAAGAGAGATAATGCTCCATCGGTGACAAGTAATGGTTACGCTAACAAGGATTATTGGATGCCGTAGTTTCTTCCATTTGCCACTTTTATCTGTGACAAATATCTGTTTAAGTCAATCTCAAGTTTACAGGACACATTCCTCACTGTTATTAAGATTTCCCAGACACTATCGAAGTGCTTTTTACAAGTTCTCCATTTTGTATTCTAACTACTAATTCCCCTTTTCAAATGTCAACGTAAGCAGTTTAGTTTCTAAAATAAACCTTGGCCAAATGTAACCCCTTCATGTCTGTGATTTTGTAGATCTCAGCTTTTGTTTCACATCTACAACAGTTTGATAGCCATGTCTTTAATATATATAAATGTCTCTCATACTACATCAAAGGATAGCTATTACAGTATTTCATTGTTCATTCATATTTATCTTTTTCCATCTTAAATGTATTTATTTTTCCTTCGAATCACTTGCACCATTATTTCATGATTTGTATTTATTTGTATGTCTTTTTGGGAGGTCTTAAAGAGGCCCTATTATGTTTTGTTTTTTACTTGTAGTGTGTTATATAGGTTTTTTTGCATGTTAATGGTCTGCAAAGGCTAAAAAAGTTCTCCCACACACACACAAATCCGCAACGCCCCTTCTCTGAACATCTTCAAATCAACCCTTAAAACTCATCTGTTCAACATCGCCTTCCAACAATAACTCACTCCCCCCCACCCCACTTACACTTCCATTTCTACCCCCTGTTTTATGTTTATGTTTTTTATGTTTTATGTCTTGTCCTTGTATGTTTCTTTGTAAAGCGACCTTGAGGTTATGAAAGGCGCTATATAAATTCAAGTTATTATTATTAGTATTACTATTATTATTATCATTATTAACATACACTGACAGGCATCACTATGTGACACTTGCGCTTCTATTGGCTAGCGCTCTAACACATTGTACGTGATAGGCTAAGGGGCGGGACACATCTAAGCGGTTGACCAATCACAACAGAGCTGGCCAGCTAACCAATCAGAGCAGACTGGGCTCTGGTTTCAGACAGAGGGTGAAAAGAGGTGCTGCAGTACAGGCAGTATGAGACAAATAAAGAGCTTTTTGAACATTAAAGCATGGAGACATGTCACAGTAGAGACACTACATAGTGATATACACCTGAACATCAGCAGGAGAGGACTCTTTAAAGTAGAGACACTACATACTGATATACACCTGAACATCAGCAGGAGAGGACTCTTTAAAGTAGAGACACTACATACTGATATACACCTGAACATCAGCAGGAGAGGACTCTTTAAAGTAGAGACACTACATACTGATATACACCTGAACATCAGCAGGAGAGGACTCTTTAAAGTAGAGACACTACATACCGATATACACCTGAACATCAGCAGGAGAGGACTCTTTAAAGTAGAGACACTACATACTGATATACACCTGCACATCAGCAGGAGAGGACTCTTTAAAGTAGAGACACTACATACTGATATACACCTGAACATCAGCAGGAGAGGACTCTTTAAAGTAGAGACACTACATACTGATATACACCTGAACATCAGCAGGAGAGGACTCTTTAAAGTAGAGACACTACATACTGATATGCACCTGAACATCAGCAGGAGAGGACTCTTTAAAGTAGAGACACTACATACTGATATACACCTGAACATCAGCAGGAGAGGACTCTTTAAAGTAGAGACACTACATACTGATATACACCCGAACATCAGCAGGAGAGGACTCTTTAAAGTAGAGACACTACATACTGATATGCACCTGAACATCAGCAGGAGAGGACTCTTTAAAGTAGAGACACTACATACTGATATACACCTGAACATCAGCAGGAGAGGACTCTTTAAAGTAGAGACACTACATACTGATATACACCTGAACATCAGCAGGAGAGGACTCTTTAAAGTAGAGACACTACATACATGTACTGATATGAACCTGAAAATTAGCATAATAGGACCACAAGATGTTCATTGCCATTAACTATTCTGTAGTTATTGTTCATATGACAAATAAAGTAATAATTTTTTTATCTTTTAATATTCCTCTCTCAGTGTACCAGTCGAAACACAAGCCAATAATGCAGTTTCTTTTAACAAATGGGCACTTGTTTAGTAAAAAGTAAGTCAGCAACCCAGTTCCAGTGCTGCGTAACTTCCCTCTTCTGACGCACACAAGTGGAACAATTTAACAATGTCGGAAGTATGCCGCAAGTTTCAATTCAACAAACCGACTTCCCCATTAACAGCTCAAAATAAAAGCATCCCAAACTGCAGGATGGGAACAAAGCGTGGACCAAAAGCTTGTTGTTATACTCACGTCTTGCAGGGTTCACATGTCCTGCCTTTGACTTTGTAGTACTTCTCTTTACATTCACACACTATGTTGTTCTCTGGTGTACCTGTGCACAAGAACAATGATATTTAGACTTGATGAGCAAAAGAAAAAGGAGTATCAGTATGATTCAAAGTCACATCTTAATACATACATGTCTTTTTCTCAATCTCGTTCAGTTTACATGATGAACATTTGCGACACTCGTATTTCTCTGAGTCGATGTTGAGCTTGTAGTAACCGTCCTTACAGCGACAAACTGTGTTTTTGATTTTTTTACATGGGGTTACCTCCACTTCATGATTTGGTGCTGTGGGAAACAAGTTATAAAGACAGAAAAAAGTTAATAAAGCAAACTATATACAACACTGACTCCCGCTGAGGGACCAGGTAGCACAGGAACTACATCAAATGTGTGGAGGAGGCTGTGGCTCAGTGGCATAGTGCGGACCGTACTGAATGTTTTTAAGTCGCTTTGGATAAAAGCATCTATCAAGTGACATGTAATGCAATGTAAAAATGTCCAGGAAAGAACATGGTTTATTTAATTTATTTACATCCTGTCCTTCTCTGTCTGTAAACACAAACTGAGTAAGATTGACATTAAAGTTGACTTTGATCCTCTGTTGCTCTGGTAAAAAAAAGAAATGTATTTGCCTCTCTGGTGCACAATTACTCCTCCACCTGTCTAGCAATATATACCCAAATGAATCCCACCGTGCCTCAAGCTGCCTACAAAGCACAAGCATAAACAACTACTACAACTAACACTAAATAATTAACACACAAAGAAAGCGAGAAAATACATGTTTTGCTATTGTGACGACCCCTCCACACCACTAGGCGTTCCGTGGTCTCTCTCTCTCTCTGTTTACAGGATCCGGTGCTGTGGGGCCTGATGAGCTGCACCTGGGTCGAAAAGGCCTACAAGAAGAGAGCCCAGCCGGATACGTCTCTCTCTCTCTCATTCCTCTCGCACACTCCCCGTGTGTCTCCAAAATAAAAGGATTGTTATACTTTCAGACCCCTCGTCTCGCCTCCCAGCTTTTTGTTGCAGCCCAAGAGCCGGGTTGTAACATATGGGGGCTCGTCCGGGATCCATATGTTACAACCCGGCTCTTGGGCTGCAACAAAAAGCTGGGAGGCGAGACGTATCCGGCTGGGCTCTCTTCTTGTAGGCCTTTTCGACCCAGGTGCAGCTCATCAGGTAAACGCCGGCCCCACAGTAAACAGAGAGAGATTGAGACCACGGAACGCCTAGTGGTGTGGAGGGGTCCTCACACTATTAAATAATTAAAGAAATGAGTAGTGTAAACCCCTGAGGCGATACCAGTTCAGAAAATGGAAAATGTTAAACCCCTTCCCCCACATCATTATTCTGACGGTTCATAATGCTCTCTGTTTTCTCTCTGGGTTTTCTCTGGGCAACAGCTTCCTCCACCAGGCGGTCAGGTTGCTGAACTCTCTCCCCTCCCTCCATCTCTTCCGCCCTCTGACATCTCTCCCCTGAACTCTCCACCCTGCCACCGACCTTTCTCCCCTGCTCCAAATGGTCCTGGACTCTAACCCCCTAAACTCACTTTTCTGCCCATCTCGGCTGCTACTGCACTGAAACAGTACTTTGAACACTTAAATTATATTATTAACATTTTAAACTGTATACCCCGGTTATCTAGGCCCTTTGTTTTGTTTAATGTATAACATGTTTATCTAGGCCCTTTTTGTTTTTTGTTTGATGTATACATGTCACACTGTAGGACTGCGGGAAACGATATTTCGATATTTCTGGATGTACAACATGTAGAATTATTGACAATAAAGCTGACTTTGACTTTGACTTGACTTTTCTGTATTTGTTTTATTATTATTATCATTATAATGTGGCTGTACCTTTGCAGATTTTGCAGCTCCTGCAGTTGCGGGAGTAGTTCTCCTGGTCTGTGTACTGTCTATCGGGACATTCCTTGCAGATACTCCTTGTATTATTAGAATGACACATTTCTACAAGGCTAAAACCTGGAAAACATGAAAGAAACACAGAGTAGGTCTTCAACTAACAATCCATTCAATTCAATTCAATCATTTGGTGTATAAAATGTTAGAAAATAATGAAACATTTCCATTTTGGTTTCTCAAAGTCGAAGTCTTTAAATGAAGGATGCATTGATGCAACCTATGAATGCATAAACTAGAAGCTTGTCGTATGCATAATTAAATAATTTAATTGAATAAATGCCAATGTAATGCCATTAAATATAGCCTATTATACTAAAAAAAAGATTAATAACAAAGGATTATGGCGGACAACAAAAAGCACAAATGCAGCCTGACTGTTATTACTTAAATCTTCTCATTGAGTATTTCATTTTCTTGCATGTTGTGCAAGTTATTCTTAAGGTATTTGTGCTCATTCAAAGTCAGTGTGGTGTGTTTCCCTGCCACAAAAGAGGAATAAATAACTAAATACATTGTTGTCGGCATCGGCTGAGAAAAATACAATCAGTTCATCCCTACTTTATAATAGTATTTAGTTAAATAGGATGTTATACGAAGCAGGAATTCTTCATATTTAAGAGTCTGAAAAAGCATTTCTTTCTGCCGCATTAAATCGATTACCAAAATTGTTGTTCATTATCCTTCAGTCAACTCACTTGTCTATTATTCCACTACATGTTGCACTGTTAAAGAGGCCATATTATGTATTAGTAGTGTAGCACAGGCAGTATGAGAAAAATAAAGATATTTTTGAACATTAACGCATGGAGACATGTCCCAGTAGAGACAACAAATACAAATATGAGCATAATATGGCGTCTTTTAGACTTTGTAGAATGGATTTGATGTTAGAAAAGGAGGACCTCCTGTGGGCTATTTCCAATAATGAGGATGCTACTGTGAATCATGTGCAGCGTGCAGAAATACAGTACCTCGATGGCATTTGTTGCAACAGACCCCGTTGTCATTGTCATACTCCCCAGCTGGACACGTCTTGGCCTCTGAGACCAATGTCAGAGCGGTGAGGACCATGCACTGAAACAGAGAATTTGCAATGAATTTACAAAGTTTTTCCATGGATTCATGCCATTACAAAGTGAGTCACTTCAAGTTGTTCTCACCATAGGGAGCAGTATTGTGCCAACAGGAGCTTTTCTGTCCCATCTTCCTCTCAGCCCAGCGCCCTCCATCATCTTACAGCTTTAAGTCAATCCATCTGAGGACACCTGCAAGGAAAACAGTCTGTCAAACATCTAACAGCCAATTTAGTGTATTTTTGACTCTTGGCCCACACATTTCTAATTAAACCTAACTTTGAAATGCCTTAAATATCCCTACATTCCCTAAGGTCTCTATAGTCTCAGTTGAAAATGGTGATGAAGTGCATGTTTCCTATCAATGTTTTAAAATGACTTGCTACAAAACAGTGAATATGGGTTTTTTTAGGACCCTGCTGATATTACATGTTACTTGTTACTTATACAATAAGATATACAATAAAACATGCAAGTTAATAATAAAGCCTTCAGTAAACCTCTGTGGCTGAAAACATTTAACTTGATCTGATAAGGGTTGAACCAACTGATAATGTAGAGCGGCCTGAGTCTTACGTTTCCTAAAATGTCCAGGGAAAAGAGGACACATCTTTCTGATTTAGCTAAAAACATGGCCTTTACTCAGGTGCTGGGTCTATTTTCTGTACACATTTCATCCATCAACCAATAATGTTGTCTGGTGTGTAAATAGGAGCTGTATGTGCTTAATTAAAGTGGTTAAAAATAGAAAAACAATCCATCTATTTCGTAAAAATGTCCAGCAAAAAGAGGATCCAATGTTATGATTTCGCTAACAACGTGACCTGAAATTGAGTCAGGTCATATTTATAAGAACAGCATCGTTTTCTGTACTTATTTCATCCATAAAATAATGTTTTTGGGTATGTAAATAAGAGCCATTTGTGCATAATTTAAGTGCTTCAAATTAGAAAACAACCATTTCCTAAAATGTCCAGGGAAAAGAGGATCCAATTTTGGTAAAGTCATATTTGAAAAGAAAAGCAAAGTGTTCTGTACATACAGTATGTTATCCATCAATCTATTGTATAAATAAGAGTAACTTTAGACATGTTTTTCCACCTACATGATATCTAACTATGCAGTTTCGGGAGTCCAAACACAATAAAATGGAGGACAAATCACAACAAATTTGATTAGAGGCTTTAAATAATAAACAGGCTTATCTATACACTTTGCTAAGGACATGTATTAATCAGAACTACTTTCTGACAAAGATCAAATAGCTGACAGGTATTTGCATTAAGTTGAGGAAGAATCATATTTGGGAGGGGGGGGGGGGTTAGTTTCAGATGTGGTTTTCTCATCACATTAGTAGATAAAACGAAACCTTCAGCAAGGTTAGCAAGAGGTAAGCAGGACACTTTGATGATCTGATCATTTGAATAAGAAGTAAAGTTAAACGCCAAATATCACATTTTAAACAACCCATACATACATACATACATACATACATACATACATACATACATACATACATACATACATACATACATACATACATACATACATGGTTGTGAATGTTAAAATAAAGTTATTGACATTATGTTGATTGGGTTTTACTGAGAGTGAGAAACAGGTCATTTAAGGTTGTCATAAGAAAAGTTAAATGCATGATAAATAACATTTTGGAAGTCACTGAATTGGATTCAACCCACAGAAAAACATGGAGGATATACGTGTTTCTTTATTGTAAATGTAGTTTGTGGATAAAGAAAGAATGAATAGGTCTACAGACAGTTAAAAAAACACTTTGGCATATCCTGCATATTTCTGCGACACTTGTTTGGCAGCCTGTTGACTTCCCTGTCGCACTCGTACTGAGAATAAACTCGAATCTAAAACCTCAAATCAACCTGAACACTTACTTGTTTACCGATAACGTTGACGTATTAAAGTACTTAATCTACACTCATTTTTTTACTGTTTTATCACTGGTTTCGCTTTAGTTCCCACCACAAAACGCCCACCAGAAGTCTGATATGATCTCCTCTTCCCACAGGCCGACATTCAGAGATATTTTACCGACACTTACCTGGACAAACACCGTGGATAATCTCTTTTACCGCAGGTCCATAACTCCACAGGAATGTATATTTAATTTAATATAACTTCGTATTATTTTGTATAAAAGTAGAAGCAGAGCGACGACGCTACTGACCCGGCTGAGCAAGAGCGGGGGAGGACTGAATACGGGAAATAGCTGCGTCACGAGACTTCTTGGAAGTGTGAAGCAAGTTAGACAAGGCAACTGAGAGCTAAAAGTGAACACACAAACACATAGGATAAAGTGAGCAATGTACACAGGTGAGGAAGTCTGCAGCTAGCTCACTTTCAGATCAGTTTACATCCCAAAAGATATAGAAGATAGCACAGGTGCAGTGGATTCTTTACTCAAGTAATTAAGCAGTGATAGAAAGTAACTAAGTAGAGGTGGGTGAAGTACTCAGATGTTGTACTTAAGTAGAAGTAGAAGTACAAGAGTGTAGGAATACTCTGTTACAGTAAAAGTCCTGCATTCAAAATGTTACTCAAGTAAAAGTGCAAAAGTATTAGCATCCAAATATACTTAAAGTACCAAAAGTAAAAGTACTCATCGTGCAGATTGGTCCATTTCAGAATAATATATATGATGTGTTTTATAATGATTGATCATTAAAGTGTTATCAAAGCTGGTAAAGGTGTAGCTAGTTTGAATGACTTTGCATACTGCAGGGTAGTTTGTGAATTTACTCCAGGTGGAACTAAAGTCTGATTTAAGTGTTGATTATATTTCACATCATTAATCCAAAACCTGCAAAGCAACTAAAGGTATTAAACAAATGTTATGTAGTGGAGTAATATTACACGATTTACCTCTGAATTGTAGTGGGGCAGAACAGAAGTATAAGTTTAGATGCAGTTTGGGGTAATAAATACATTATTTATGCTGCCTTACTGGTTGGGTTTCTGCCTGTATCAAAGTGTACTACTGTTAATATCAGGGTCCCATGATTTGGTACGGTTAGACCAGAGCACTTTAGTGCAGCGGTCAATCCTAAAATAAACTTAAATAACAAGTGTACATTAAAGGGTCTTAAACATGTCTTTAGTAATTGTAATGTTATTTCTCATGTCTGTTTACATGTTTCTTTTCTTGTATACTTCTTGTAATTGGCTTTCTTGTTATTTTCTTGTTTTTACTTGTTGTTAGTCTTCATTATGAATCACAAGTTGCATTATCATAGATTCTACTTTTGGAGGGGGGGCTACAGAACCACCCATGTTGTTGTATATAACAATAAAGCTTTTGAATCCTTGAAGTATGACTCGATGCACTGTAATTATGGGCCACAGTGAAGTATAGGCTGGTACTTTATATAGGGACCCAGCAGAGCATGTAGTCATGTGACTTCTCTGGTACATTACATGAAAGAGCTCAGTCAGCAGAGCAAGTACCTCCTGAGAAAAACCACATCCTTCCTCTTCAGTGAGCTGTGTCTTCATCTTTCTACTGTTCCTCCTCCTCGCTCTCTTCTGTCTGTCTCTGTCTCTGTGTCTTATGCATGTAAGTGTCAAACAATTCCACTAACACATCTGCCACACAGACACTTTAAGTAGGTCTTTTCTTACATGCACGTGCTGTACTGCTGAGTTTCATACAGTCTGATCTGGAAACTGATCTGAGTGCATGTTTCCAGTCAAGCAAAAACTAGTTTATGTGTATGACTAGTTTACTTGGATGAGATCAACTATACTTATGAAAGAATAACGTGAGACACATATCCTTTAATAGAGAAAACAATTGGTTTGAACATTGCAATCACATGAACTTAAATACAACTTTAAGCCTCCTTACTTTAAGTCATGATCATGTCTACCTTTTATTCACTGTAAATGAGTTGCTTTTTTATTTACTTATTGTATGAATGCACTTGTTGTATATTATCTTTTTACATTATCAGAACATCCTCGGCAGGTTCCTGGCAAGTTCTTATCTAATCCTTAACTCAAGCAGTCTAAAACTGAAACCTGACGATAAGCATGACCAGGTTTGCTCTGTGATTTTAATGTGTAGTCATCTCTCTTACAGTCACCCCTGTACTCTGTCTCAGTGGCGCCGAGAGCCCCTCCACAACCCTTAGGCCCCGTTTCACATTCTGACAGGAGATCACGTGTGGTTGTGGCTTCGTTTCTGTGAAGAAGTGACGAAGATGTTGAGAAGATAAGATGATGGTGGAAGTGCCAAGGTGAAAAAAATCCACATCACATACTTTAGGCTGCACCACAGTCTCCTGTTACAAAGTACAAACACTTGCTTACAGTATGCATACATGGGCATTCTTCCTCATCCACACTCTTGCTCATGTATCCACTGTGCAAAGAGTAGTGAGTCAAACTGGCCAGGAAAACATGCTGGCTTGCAAACTGCAAATATAGACCGGATGCATAAGTATTTTGTTGTATACTGCATTTGACATACTCAGTATTAAGACATACTTAATCTTTCTCTGGCAGACTAAAATGGGTATTGAAACTCGTAGTCAGTTTATGATTCAGTTTAAGATGTCAAGTCAACGCCCCATCTACTAAAGCTGAGATTGCAGGTTGTCCTCCTTACCTGTCTTGGCTGTTAAATAATAAAAAGAGAGCACTTCATGAGTTCAGCCCATTATAAACTTCTGCAGCAGCACTTTAATTGTTTGGTTTATTTTGAGGCGGATATTCCCATATTTTTTGTTTGTATCTTTATGGTTAAAGGTCCCATGTCATGCTTGTCTGGTTATTACCCGTCCCCTTGTGTGTTATGTAGCTTGTTATGCATGTAAACGGTCTGCAGAGTCACAAACCCTCAAAGTACACCCTGTAGCGAGTAAAACTCTAACACAGAAAAGACCTGTCTTTGCTGCCCCAGAACTACTCACTGGAGATTTCTCTTTTTCCATTGTTTTCTTCTTGGGTATAGTGATGTATTTCGGGTATAGTGACGCGGAGCCGTTACGTTTGGACCAATTTGCGGACTTCCTCACACACACACACTCGGCGGGACGTTGTGAGGCTCGCTGCTGCGAAGAGCGGGACACTGTGAGCTGGCTCACTGGTGTGGGGTCGGCGAGACAGCGAGACACCGCGGAACTCAGCCTGGGCACACACACAAACTCCCAGCCAGGCTGCGGGTGTGTGTGTGTTTCAGGCTGGGTTTCGCTGTGTCTCGCTGTCTCGCAGACGGCCACTGGGCTCACAGGGAGGGGGGGGGGGCAGGAGCTCCAACAAGCCGTTTAGGACAGAGAGTGAATACACATACTATACAGAGATGCTGTATGAGAAACCAATGTGAGTTTGGATAATTGAACAATATACATTTATTTTATTATACCTCAACAATGGAATTATGATCAGTAGAAATGGCCATGACATGGGACCTTTAAGTCGTTTTGAGTAAAAGCGTCAGCTAAATGAAATGTAATGTAACATCAATCATCAGCTGTACTCTCTAATAGAGGCAAAACATCCCCCAAAATAAAACATGTGAAAACAAGTAAATTCAGACAAATCGTATGAGAAAAATCATGTTTGTCAGTAAACATATTTCATCATTTTGAAGCATGTGAACTCGTTCAAGTGGAAACCCAAAATACACCCGAAGCCTTGCATAAGATGTCCCCTTCCAAAAACAAAGAGACACTTAGAAAATAAAGTGTTAGCAGAAGGCCTTTACAGAAATGCAGATAAATAGCTCATCATAACACAAACAGTTCTCACACTTACAAAGTAAAAACTGTAAAATCAGGAATTTACCAATCACTCATCACTCTGTGAATTGACTGTAATATTTAATCTAATCCGGGCAATTCAAGCCACAGTGGACAGATAATCATCTACTCTATCACACGCAGAAAATGTCACACACACTATGCATTTATGAGTAATTCAATATGTTACATGTCACTCCAAACATTTACACAGTTATTTCTTGAAATGTGAATTTCCTCATGCGATTAGATGACTAAGCCCCTCTTTGCCTCACCATTCAACTGGTATTGTTGATACATTCTCTCCTTTATCATCAGGCTGGTAGATTCATGTAATTTATTGGAAAACTTCAGCAACAGGAGGGATACGAGTGAAATGAGTGATGCATGATATTTGACTGAAGAGGGCGAGAGTCAAAGACAGGTATAAAAGAAGAGAGGAAGGGAGATTGTTTTCAGCCTAAAATAGAGGTTTTTGGTGAAACGAGAGAGATGGTGCGTGTGGAAAAAAGAAGAGGCTGACGGAGGTCTTGTTTTTGTGCACGGAGCCAAGGGTCGTAGCAAAAAGACTGAGACAGGTTGACATATATCAAAAACATCATTGAAATGTTAAGCTCTCAGAATGAGTCATTTGACATTTGTTGAACAATCCCCTGACACACTTCTGGTCCCCTGCTCAGTCTCACACTCAGAGGGTCTCTGCTCACATCTTCTCTCGCCTCCTCATCCACGGTAAGTAAAAACTGTAAGAAGAGACATTTTAAACCATAGCTGTAAGTCAAACCTGGGGTGAAAACTTCCCTTAAATCACTCGCAGTAGGATGTAAAGTGTTTTTATTGGTGGTAAGAAGATTTGTCTTTTAATACTATATTGTATCTTATTGGTAAAGTGTATATACTGCATTGTGTAGCTTCACTGCCAGACTTTCTGTTTATTGTGATGTAAAAATCTCCAGTGTTGGAAGAAGTACTTAGTGTAAAAATACTCAGATACAAGTAAAAGTCCTGCTATCAGGTAAAAGTACAAAAGTATTAGCATTAAAATGTACTAAAAGTGCCAAATGTAAAAGTACTGGACCATTTGAGAATCATATATAGTAAATAATTGAGTTGTATTTGTTAATACATTCATGTTTTCATCACTTTTGAAGCTGGTAAAGGTGGGGTTCATCTTAATGATACGTTATTATATAAATGAACTGTAGGATAGCTAGCTAATTTTAATACAAATAATGATCCAAGTTTTTGTGATAACACGTGTCTTTGATAATAATATATCATAATGTATTGGTTCAATTTTTTGTATTATTATTATTCCTAATCTGCAAAGTAGCTCAAGCTGTAAAGTAAAAAGTAGCAATAAGTAAAAATACTAAGTGAAGTAAAAGTATCTAAAATGTGTACTTAAGTACTGTACTTGACTAAATATACTTAGTTACATTTCACCACACTAGGAATGTGTTCTTTCACTCAATGCCTGTTGAATATATTTACATCTATCTCCTTCGCCTCTCTTTTTTCTTCTTCTTCCCAGATGCAGCCACTTTGTTATTTCTCTCTCCTGTGCACTCTCTCTTCCCTCTCCTCTGTGTTGTCTCTAAACTGCTCTGACAGACACTATGCCTGGCCAGCGAACACACCTACGTTATGCTGCGACAAATGCGCGCCAGGTACAAAAATCATAATTTCTCCTTTACACATTTCAAAGTTTAGATGCAAACAGATAATAACCTTCAAGTCGTGTGTGTATTCCAGGTCAGCGTATGGTTAAGCGTTCAGAAGTCAATTGTGTACATCAGTGTGGACCCTGCATGGAGAAACTGTACAGGGATACCTACAATGAGAAGATGAGCTGTGAAATTTGTGGATTTTGCAATAAACGTGAGTATTTTCACAGCTTTTCTGTTGGATGTGTGAGGCCTGAATTGTGTGAAAATGCTACTAATGGCGCATTTCCACTACACGGTCGGCCTCGGCCACACTCGGTACGGCTCGGTACGGCTTGGCCGCGTTGGGCCTTAACAGGGCCGACTCACTTCATGCTGCGCTCCCATTACAGTTTAGGAACTGGGGTAGTTACTATAGTAACGCAGTGTAGGCGGAGCCGTGACGTCATCTTCAATGAGAAATCCAGAAACACAACACAGCCGTTAGCTGTGAGCACTCAGAGCTCACAGCTCCATATATATGTTCAGAAACTAGACAAAAGTTAAACAAGTACACACCACAGACTGCCTGTGTCATGGTGAATACAGTCGCTGCTTTATTTATGTCTGTATAGGCCGTTGTTGTGAGTGTGGACGGTCGGGGCATATACTGCGTTAGCTTAGCCAATCTCCATCTAGAAAAAACACGAATTTTAAAAGGTTTTTCGCCTGCCGTCTGTCTGCAGACTTGACAAAGCATTAATTCATGGTTTTTACTAACCGGTATCAGTATGTTGTTACTTCGGCATCATTTTGAAACGTGTATTACAATTAAATCACGGTCAAATATGTCCATCTTGTTGTAGTTCTAGCCCTCTTGCCAGCGCTCCTCTCTCTAGTTTAGCATACTCAGCCCGACTCAGCCCTGTTTGTTGGCCCCGATAGAACCACAATTTTCTAGGGCCAGAAAAGAGGGGAAAAAGTGGCCCCGCGCCGTGCCGCGCCGGAACGAGGCCTAGTGGAAGCACAACCAAAAAAGGGGACGGCACGACACGGCACGCTTAAAGCGAGCTACGCGCTGCAATGGAAATGCGCCATTAGAGACACAGAAACAGCATCAGTGACAGCATGATTTCATAATGGTTCATATGATGTCATATATTAGTTTAAAGGGGTCCTATTATGCTTTCTGTGGTTCCCCTTTCCTGTAGTGTGTTATATGGTGCATGTAAATGGTCTGCAAAGTCTAGCATCCCAAAGTTTGTTTCCTTCCCCAACATAGTGACTTCACTAGGTAACACTCCACTTCTGTAGGCTAGCGCTCCTACACATTGTACGTGATGGGCTAAGGGGCGAGACATCTCTAAGCGGTTGTCCAATCACAACAGAGCCGGCCAGCTAACCAATCAGAGCAGACTGGGCTCTGGTTTCAGACAGAGGGTGAAAAGAGGTGCTGCAGCACAGGCAGTATGAGAGAAATAAAGAGCTGTTTGAACATTAAAGCATGGAGACATGTCACAGCAGAGACACTACATACAAACCTGAAATTAGCAGAATAGGGCCCCTTTAACACAGCTCACAGAGACTGATTCTTGCACATACAGGAGATTTAAACCCTCATTGTTCAACAGTTTCCACCCTGATAATGCATGTATGAAAGCCCAAGAAACAGAAAATAAACATGTTACTTGATTATAAGACTGGATCATTAACATATACAGGTTAAGAAGAGTGTAGTCATCTTGAAGATGAAACAGAAACATTGATGTTTTGATTAGAAGTGATTCATCAATACTCTAGAAATACTATCTGCTACCCCCTCCCTCTGGGTAACATTTTGGTTCTCATTTAGTTGGAAGTGAGTGATTAATCATTTGTCTGGAGTCAGGTCCAGGCTTGTTACTCAACTTTATTTTTAAAGACAACATGCTTGTTACTCAACTCTGTCTTCGTCATGATTTCAGAGAAGTTTGCCCAAAGAGACTCAACGGGTCACAGATGGGAGGGGATTTCCCATCGTGTGTCATGGTGGGAGACAGTCAGAGAGAGAATAGGTGGGGTCTGAGAAACCCTCCGTCAAAAGGGAGGTTATTAGGGTGGGATTCTGCAGCATTAAAGAGGCCCGTTATGTTTTAGGGGGAATTTCCCTTTCCTGTAGAGTGTTGTAGGTTTCAGTGCATGCAAATGGTCTGCAAAGACTACAATCCCTGTGTTCGCTCCAGAGGGAGTTTCTCTCCCTGAAACGCCTCCATTGGACTCCTTTGTTTACTTCCATAACATAGTGATATCACTCTAGTGCAGGGGTGTCAAACTCAAATACACAGTGGGCCAAAATAAAAAAATGGGTACTAGTCGAGGGCCGGACTGGTTCAATGTTTATTGCAAAACTTAATTAATTAACTCATTGCACATATTAAACCTGGAACTAACAAAGCGTAAATTATTGCCTATAAAAACAACATTAAACATTAAATAATCAGTTGCATTCATTTCTTATGGCTCTATCTGCAGAGTCATTTCTTATGATTACATTTTTCCACAGGCCAACAACAGCTTCAAAAAAACAATTTCCCTCAAAGAAAAAACCAAACATGCCCTGTTGTCTCAAGAGAAAAAGTGCAGAAGGAAACATCCAAAAAATTATCCTGCGGGCCGAAATTAAATCCACCAAGGGCCTGATTTGGCCCCGGGGCCTTGAGTTTGACACATGTGCTCTATTGGCTAGCGCTCCAACAAATTGTACATGATTGGCTTAGGGACCGACCAGCTAACCAAACAGAGCAGACTGGGCTCTGGTTTCAGACAGAGGGTGAAAAGAGGTGCTGCAGCACAGGCAGTATGAGAACAATAAAGAGCTTTTTGAACATTAAAGCATGGAAACATGTCCCAGTAGAAGAACAATATACAAATTTGAACCTGGACATTAGCATAATAGGGCCCCTTTAACAACACCATTAGCAGCACGTGCTACCATTACCATTTTTTTGGTCAATGGTCAATTGATTAATTCATAAACATTCATGTGTCGATATAATATGTAATATAATACTGCAAATCTGCACCAAAATGTAAGTCATCACAAGTACAGACAGGAAGAGTTTCAAAAATGAAAGACCATCATCTTGACAGTGGGGAAAAAAGACCGAAATGTGGTAAACATCGGAAAGAGACTCAGACACTGAAGTCTCTGCTAAAGAGGAGCAAACACAGCCTGTTGTGCTTGTTCTTAAATGTCACTGTGAACACAGAGGGGAAAACACAAGTCTGTGATTTTGACTTTCACGTCTGCACCTAAACGTTCTCACATAATGTAAGGGTAAGCCTGTTTGGATTCAATGTGTACAGTGCAGCTGTCAACAAACCTTTTACACTGCGGGTTTAAAGGTGGGTGTTGAAATGTCACATAATATGCCAATTAACGGCTATGGAAACTAATTCATGTGGAAATGATTTAACCCACACAAAAACCTCATGCACTGAAGTTGCAATACAACAGTGATGATACTTCAATACACTTTGGTCTTCATTGGATTATTGTTTGCAAGGATTTGGGTGTGCAAAAAGGAATCATGCCACATATTAACTCTTAAATGATAGATGTTTACTTCAGTAGAGTATAAGGTCGTACTCTCCTGAGGCTTTCCGGACGATTTCTTTTTTTAATTGTCTGTAAATTATTCAGTTTTAAGAGTAAACATCTTTGCTTTGTATCTGTAGCAACTCTTACGCTTTATACTTCATTCTGTGTATTTCTGTTTGATTCATATCCAAGATAAACACGTGTTGGAATAATGGCTATTTGAAGTCCTGTTGAAATGTACTACTTTTGAGTCGATATATACAGCCTTATGGGACACAAGCAAAATGAATATTACCATACCTTGTCAGTTTATGATAATCTAGTTTAAATATGACATTTAAATCGTGTTTGTGAAGTCATTTTATTGCCAGTTTTGGGAACAGAGGAGTATGACTGTGTGTGACAAGAATACATTGAAGATAATTCATGTAAAATATGTCTGATACTGAAGTTCAGTGAAATGTAACCACTCCCATCTGCAGTTCTCTCTGAGCAATAACCCTAAATGACACAAAATGTAATTATGGTTGTGTTTGTTGTAGTTTAATGACTATGTTGGACTGGTAAGTGTTTTGTAATGACTACAGGGACCCATACTATTGCTATTTGTGAGCTCATATCGAAGTATGCTCGTAAAAAAAAACATTTAGTACGAGGGTTAAATGTGCAATCAAAGTGAAATGCTGCTTCACTGAGTAATAACAGTTGTGTCTTACTTTACAAATATGCATCAAAAGTGAGAATAAAAACCGTCCTGTGACTGAAACCTAGAATCTTAACTCGCCGTGCCCAGAGTGTGACTCATTCCTCATTGTCTGATTCATGTCATGTTGTACAGGCAACCTTAGTGCATTTGGTTCATCACTTACACACTGTTTGTAGTTATAGTAAATAAACCATGATACTATTCTCTGCATCTTCTTATAGCAAACATGGCGTATGATTCAAACTGCAACTCCACTCACAACGCAGTGTGCCGATGTAACGCCGGCTACATGTACAAAGATGCATCCCGCAAACAGTGTGTGCCGATACCACCAACCGACACCAAACCTACACCTGCTCCACCCACTACAGGTGAGCCTATAGAAGACAACCGTTTTCCAGTCCGTTCACATGCACAGGAATGCACCATTCTTGCAGAAAAAGACACATATTTTCATAAAAGAAACATAAATAACATTTAATTTGTTGCTCAATTGAATTCGACATATATTACGGAATAGAGCAGGATGAAAGCTTACAAAGGAATCCACTAAATTAACAGAAATAACATATCTGGTTCAGGACCTGATGCAGTCTGATGTTAATGGTAATACGTTTGCTGATAATTCGTGAAAAAAGGGAAGAGAAAACATTTTGCTATTTCACTTTTTAACTGTGCTTTCAATCACATGACACACATCTAGCCCTGCGTATCACTGTAGCTTCTGGGTGGTACAGACTGTAGCCCGAGTGGGAATACACAACACATTACATACACAATACATACTGTAAGCATTTTTGTAGATTATTTTAGCAATCTGAAGTTAAGAACGCATTATTTAATTAAGTTCAGTGACATTGCACTCCTTGTGACTCAATTACAATGTCTTTATTTACAACATTTGCATCTACTTACATCTGTATTCATCTTTATCCAAACCCTGCACCTTAATTGTTTTCTGTTATGTATATTTGAATAGAAAACGAATGCACTTAATTACTCTTTGCGCTTTCTGGTTGGATGCAAACTGCATTTCGTTGTGCAATGACGACAAAGTCTAATCTATTTTTAGAGAGAACAAGTTATTGACAGCTGATAACCAAACATGTAGGAATACAAGATTTTTGTTTTGTGCAAATGTTATTATACTGCATTAAAGGGAGAATTCTGCACATTTGATGTGGATATCCAATTAGTGTTGATGAACAAACTCCTCATGCAATGCTTCGACTTCATTTACCATGAACACTGATTGGACATCCACACTAAAAGCACTTCTTCACAGTGTGTTCTTCTTCTTATTATATTCTTTAAAAAATATATAGGTGTTTTTTCTCTTTTGAGTCACTCGGCCAATACACAAAATAGTAGATATCAAAGTGGATAAAGACTTCTTTCTTACATGTTTTGACTTTATTTAGCTACTCTTTAAATATGTTTCAGTTTCCGTGGCGTTAGTTCACGCACGCACGCACGCACGCACACACACACTGGGTGACAGGAGTTAATGATAAACCGATTTGTGTATTTACATATCGGGACTTCCTGATCAGATAAAATAAAGGAGTGAGCTCACGATCTAATCTGAACCATGAAAAGTGAAATGTTTCCAATGAACTCTGTCTCCCTGCAGTCCTGAAACCTGGCCTCACTACAGCCTGGCCGCCTGCTCCACAACTCAGAGGTAAAGTTCTGTCTGTGCCAATCAAAACAAGGAAATAACTGAACTCTCTCCAGTGTATTTCAATCTATAAATGTCTCTCTCACAAGTTCTTACAGATACCGTGTGGTTCCTGGTGATTATTGCCCTCCTGTGTGCAGGACTTGCAATCGTTTTTGTCGCAAACATAAAGCCCTTTCTGCGCTGGATCAAATCCATGAATGGTTAGTCATTAATATAATGAAGCAGATAACCCTGAACCAGTATACAAACAAAGAGAGTGCACCGAGAGTATCATTTTATGTTGTGCACATATTCGTTTTAAAATTAAAGTGGCTATTACCTCATATTTTTACCTGAATACTTAAGATATCTTCCCTCTTTCTGTTGTTGCTCAGGCTACTTTTTGGCTAAAGAGCCTGCGCCGGTAACGGCATGCTCCGAGGACGAAGGAGTGTCCACGCCTATCCAGGAAGTGGTCGGGAAATGTGAATGTGTATGAGTGAAAGAAGAGCTCCAGAATATGAACATTTACTGCAAAACATCTCTTTGGACATTAAGGGCAAACAGGGGCAAACGTCCCTCGACCTACGCTAGAAATGGAAGAACAGATTTCAAGACTGCTGCTGTTTTCCGGGCAAACTTGACTGTCTGACATCTGTGACGTTAAGATGATAAATAGGATAGGAGAACTTCAAATACCAAAAGTGACGCTGTAACTGTTGTGCATGGGTTAGAAACTGTGCCGGTGGTATGTACTATGGTACATTTATAGATGTAAATATAAACAGACTTTTAAAATTTTTCAAATGTGAATGTTTTGATTTCTTTGTATTTCTACTCAGCTTTCTTTATTCTGAATAAAGTTTTATTGTAACCAAATCGAGTAATATTCACGCAACAATATCCGGGTCTGACACTTTTAAAGAGAGCAGAGTGAAGAGTATTTACTGTACATGACATTTTAAATGATAACTTACACAGGAGATCCCCTCCAGCTGTTCTTCCCAAAGTTCAAGTTTCTGGTGTGCTTGGACCACAAGCTGCAGATAACAATGTCTCTGCTGCATGGCACTGGGATCCCTTCACAGTTTGCCAAAGGCTCCACATTCATCTGTTCTGTAGTTACTTAAAAAAATTAAAAAAAGAAGTCTGGATGCCAGCGGTCGTAAACCACCAACGTAAATCGTCTGGGATATTTAGGACGCATCATAGCGACTCCTCTTTGGACACATGGCATTCTTTTCCTTGCTCCTGGGAGGGAAAGAAAATGCTGTCAGCCTCTCCGCTCCTCTCCTCCTCAGAGAGATGGATGCTGGGAGAGGATGTGGGGTGAAACACAGGACAGCCTCTCTCCTCTTCCTCTTCTTTCTCGCTGGTCACTCTCTCGGCCGTCTTCCCACATTGGACCATCGTTGGACCGACTTGTCCTGTAAACTGATTGAGGAGGCCGAAGATAACCGTCCCTGGATTATAGACGTGGACTGGAACTAAAGAGTATAAAAACAAACAAATAGTGGACGTTGTCATTTACCCGAAGTAGTTTAAAGAACACACATTCATAACAGGAACACAGCTGCATCTTTCGCTTGTTTTATTTTCTTAATGACTCCACAAAGTGAGTAATGTATTTCCCATGGATGTTTTAGTTTCACTCATCAGTACCCTGATTGGCTGCAGAGAGGCCGGCCGGCGGCTGCTTGGCACTGAATGAGTCTCTGGGGGGCGGATGAGTCGATTCCTGCGGCTTGTGAGAAGCATCTCGTCCTCCCTGAAGAAAAACATGTCTGTCAGTGTGAGGCATGCAAACCAGAAGGGATGCTATTTATGTGGAAACATGCACGAATGAAACGTGGAAACTTACCTCACTGCATAACTTTGCAATAGCTGGAAAACAATAGAAAACACATGAATACAAAGTCAGTTTTTCACACATGAAGAAGCCAATGACACATTTCTAATCAGTTGTTTCTTAAAGATGACAAAGACTGTTGTATTGTTTTTGAGGTATAACAATGGTTTCCAAAGGCTTACATGCAGCACAGGCATAATGAGAAACATAAAGCACTCTTTGAACATTAAAGGTGGGGTAGGTAAGTTTGAGAAACCGGCTCGAGATACACTTTTTGTTATATTCCATGGAATGCTCTTAACATCCCGATAGCAATGAATATCTTAAGTGCTTTGACAAAAAATCCATAAAAAAATGTCATCTGTGGAAGCCGTAGTACTGTAAAAAGCATGACCAATCATCTGAGCCGGCCCGACTAAAATAACTGGATGGCCTACCTGCCTGTCAGCCTTCCATCTGTGCACAAACTTATCTCGTGCCCTCATTGGTCATGTGCGCGTTCGTGTGTGTTGGAGGAGGGGCTCTGTAAGGAAGTGGCAGATTTTCTCCGGTTGTGTATTTTCAAATTCTAGCGATCTCGAGCTGGTTTCTCCAAAATTACCTACCCTACCTTTAAAGGGGCCCTAATTTGCAAATGTTCACCATGTATGTAGTGTCTCTACTGTGACATGTCTCCATGCTTTAATGTTCAAAAAGCTCTTTATTTTTCTCATACTGCCTGTGCTGCAGCACCTCTTTCCACCCTCTGTCTGAAACCAGAGCCCAGTCTGCTCTGATTGGTTAGCTGGCCGGCTCTGTTGTGATTGGTCAACCGCTTAGAGATGTCCCGCCCCTTAGCCTATCACGCACAATGTGTCGGAGCGGCAGCGAATAGAAACTTGTGTTTCATAGTGATGTCATTATGTTACAGAAGTAAAAAACAAAGGAGTCTTGAGGTGTTTCGGGCAGGGTAGCCTTTAGATTTAAGTCTTTGCAGACCATTGACATGCACACAAACCTATACAACTCACTGCAGGAAAGAGGAACCCTAGAAAAGCATAATAGGACCTCTTTAAAGGCTTTCAACAGGATTGGGGGGTTACTTTCAAAATGTATACTGTTAATAATGAATGACTACCTGTACAAAATGTAACCTAATGTTAGTATTGAAAGATAAAAGTAATGTAACCTGATTACTACATCTACTATCTTTTTATTGTATCCTAATTATTACATATTCCCGTTACATGGAATCCGTTACTTCCCATTCCTGGCTTTCAGAAAACAGTTTCTATTGTTTCCCCAGAGGTGATGTCATCATAAGGTTAAGGGTTTGATTGGTTAATGAGCAGCAACTGAACCTGTCCAGGATGTCCAGTACACACAGACCATCGTACCTCGCTTGAAACACGATTCCTCTGCGTTTTCATCTCTGTTTGAGTGAAAGAAGAACAGGATCAAAAGGGCCAAACATCCCAGAGCCACCGGACACAAAATGGCCTCCAGCCGAACGCTCTTCCCGCCTGAGAGAAATCAAAACAAGAGTTAAAGTCCATTTCAGAATAATATATATGATGTGTTTTATAATGATTGATCATTAAAGTGTTCTCAAAGCTGGTAAAGGTGCAGCTAGTTTGAATGACTTTGTATACTGCAGGGTAGCTTGTGGATTTACTCCAGGTGGAACTAAAGTCTGATTTAACACTTGATTATATTTCACATCATTCATCCACATCTGTGAAGTAACTAAAGGTATTAAGTACATGTAGTGGAGTAAAAGTACATCTGAATTGAAGTGGAGTAGAAGTACAAAGTAGCAGAATATGGAAATACTCAAGTAAAGTACAAGTATCTCAAAATGTTACTTAAGAACAGTACTTGAGTAAATCTACTTACAGTAGTTGCTTTAAACCACTGCTGTCCGACCAACATTTCCATCACTACAGACATGCTTTAGAGCAGGGGTGTCAAACTCAAATACACAGTGGGCCAAAATAAAAAAATGTGTACTAGTCGAGGGCCGGACTGGTTCAATGTTTATTGCAGAACTTATTGAAATTAACTCATTGCACATATTAAACCTGGAACTAACAAAGCTTAAATGATTGCCTATAAAAACAACATTAAACATTAAATAATCAGTTGCATTCATTTCTTATGGCTCTATCTTATGATTACATTTTCCCACAGGCCAACAACAGCTTCAAAAAAACTATTTCCCTCAAAGAACAAACCAAACATGCCCTGTTGTCTCAAGAGAAAAAGTGCAGAAGGAAACATCCATTAAACTCAGTGTGCTGCTCTGTGATGCTAGTTCAAGCCAGATACTTGGCATCTCATCTTGGGTGCAAGTTCATCAATGTTTGGGGTCAGGCTCTGAGCTGAGGAGACCCTCAGGATTGAGTGAAGGTGTGCGTGCCTGATTTGGCCCCCGGGCCTTGAGTTTGACACATTTGCTTTAGAATATAGATCAAACATTGTGCCTCACAACATTATAAATACATTGAAAACAGCCTCCAAATAATGTTCTCACTCTCACCTATATGTGGGTCATTTCCTGCTGGTGGTTCTGGCGTCGGGCGGCAGCTGTGTGAGAAAAAGGTGAAGTGTTACATCTTAAAAATGTGACCTTAAGAGCAAGAACTGACTGCGATATCTGTAAGGTTCATAACAAATGCTCAAATACACTTAATGTAATACTCTGTGACTTTGAGAGGACTAAAGTGATCGAGATGTAGGGGGACTGTGGCTGCGAGGGAGTGCGGTCGTCTTTAAAACCAGAAGGTTGGAGGCTCGATCCCATACCGCGCAGTCAACATGTCGATGTACAGGTACATCTCAATACATTAGAATATTGTGGAAAAGTGTATTCATTTCAGCAATTCTATTTAAAAAAGTTAAACTATGGGGTATTGTCAAGAGGAAGATGAGAGACACAAGACCCAACAGTGCAGACGAGCTGAAGCAGTAATTTGTGCAAAAGGAGCAGAAACATGAACACACTTTTCAGAAGGCCGACATTTCTGTATTTAAAATCCTTTTTTTATTGGTCTTACAGTATATGTAATATCAGCTGTAAGCCGTAATCATCAAGATTAAAACCAATAAACACTTCAAATAATTATCTTTCTGTGAAATCTATATAGTAGGCTATATGAGTTTCAACTTTAAAAAAATAGAAATACTGAAATCAATCAACTTTTCCACAACAATCTAATTTATGGAGATGTACCTGTATCCTTGGGTAACTTGGTGCTCCCGGTGTGTGTGTGTGTGTGTGTGTGTGTGTGTGTGTGTGTGTGTGTGTGTGTGTGTGTGTGTGTGTGTGTGTGTGTGTGTGTGTGCGTGCGTGCGTGCGTGCGTGCGTGCGTGCGGCGTGCGTGCGTGCGGCGTGCGTGCGTGCGGCGTGCGGCGTGCGTGTGTGTGGGTGTGTGACTGTGGGTGAATGTTAGCTTCCCTACAGAAAGTGGTGCTGCTCTGCATGAATGAGGTGTGAATGGGTGAATGACTGATAGTATGTAAAGCGCTTTGAGGGGTCGAAAAGACTGGATAAAACGCTATACAGTATAAGAACAGTCCATTACCATTTAGATATGTGGTGTCAACCGTCTGTGATGAAGAGGAGCATTCAGTGTAATAAGACACTTAGCACGTGTTTAGGGAATGTTGAGAGACGCGTTATTTAATAATAAAGATGGCCATCTGTTATATTGTAGTTATTAAAGTGAACTATGGTAAACATTTAGCAATTTCATTGAATTGTTTAATGTGGGTTGAATGTGAAAGTATGTACAGCCTGTCTTATGGCTTTCTTTTTGGTTTGTTTTCTATTTGTATGTACAGTTGTAACATCAAGGGTGTCAGAGGAATTTAAAGTTGTTTTAATCCAAAACTCTCTCTCAGGAAATGGACGACTTACTTGGGTAATGTGCAGGGTTTTGTGGAAGTGCTGCTTCGTCCCGGGGAAGCTGAGGAAGTCGTCTGTTTATCTGGTTCTGAAAAAGCAGTAGAAAAACATCACAGCTTTACTTTCGGATTTAAGAGGACAGACTGTTTACGGGGTTAACGCTCTGACCGTGAACTTCATGGTTCATTGTCCACAGAAATAACCTTCGTTGCATGTTTTCAAATATCTCTCTCTTCCTTCATTTCCTGTCATCTCTCTGCTGTCAAACAACAATGAAGGCTGAAGTACAAGGAAGTAACACATACATTTCACAAATGATTATCTACAGAGTTTCTGTTCCTGTGAAGAGCTGTTAGTTCCCAGGTTGACTGCAAAGCATTGTTCACATATATTTAATCGTTTTTTAACCGTTTCATATCATTTTCCAACTTTCTCTTCATTTATTTCTTATTTTTAACGGTATTTAGGAGTAGTAAAGTTCACAGTTGTCATACCATGCACTATGTTGTGTGTCATTTTATTTATGTTTTTATACCTCATATTCTTCTAGTGAATATTCATTGTTTTATTATAACTTTTTACCATTGTTTAACATGTTCATGGTTCTATATAGGGGCCTTGTTTTTTTATTAAATGAGTATATGTTTGACTATATTAATACATGCATAGTAGAACTACTAGTAATAATGGGGTATTTTGCACGGTGGCATCACTTTTCTAAATATATGATATGAGTATTCCTTCTGTACGGTTCACCTCCCTTATAGTGGAGCTCATATGAGAGACTTCCTATCACTTATTATCAGAGGTGGGAAGTAACTAAGTAGATTTACCGTTGAGGTACTTGTACTTTACTTGAGTACTTGTACTTTACTTTTACTCCACTACATGTATTTAATACCTTTAGTTACTTCACAGATGTGGATGAATGATGTGAAATATAATCAAGTGTTAAATCAGACTTTAGTTCCACCTGGAGTAAATTCACAAGCTACCCTGCAGTATACAAAGTCATTCAGACTAGCTGCACCTTTACCAGCTTTGAGAACACTTTCATGATCAATCATTATAAAACATATCATATATATTATTCTGAAATGGACCAATCTGCACAATGACTACTTTTACTGTCGCTACTTTAAGTATGTTTTGATGATAATACTCTTCTACTTTTACTTGAGTAACATTTTGAATGCAAGACTTTTACAGTAACAGAGTATTCCTACACTCTGGTACTTCTACTTTTACTCAAGTACAAGATCTTAGTACTTCTACTTTTACTCAAGTACAAGATCTGAGTACTTCTACTTTTACTCAAGTACAAGATCTGAGTACTTCTACTTTTACTCAAGTACAAGATCTGAGTACTTCTACTTTTACTCAAGTACAAGATCTGAGTACTTCTACTTTTACTCAAGTGCAAGATCTGAGTACTTCTACTTTTACTCAAGTACAAGATCTGAGTACTTCTACTTTTACTCAAGTACTTCTCCCACCTCTGCTTATTATCACTGTCACAAAGTACAGTATTTCTCTCTCTCTTACAGTCAGGGCGGTATATTTCGATTATCATGACGCCCCCTGGTGGTAGAGTCTGTTATGACGGTTTAGAAGTCTGCAGTTGTTTACCTGTTGTTGTTTACATGTTGTTGTTTACAAATCAAATCAAATCAGGTTTTATTTATATAGCACATTTAAAAGCGATTTTTGGTCGAGCCAAAGTGCTGTACATGTAATAAAAACACATTACTACAAATCACAATAAACGACAATAAATTACAACAGATATATCTTAAAAACAAAATAAAAATAAAACACACGGAAAAGTCAGGAGTCATGCTCCGCTCTAACTAGAAAGCCAGAGAGAAGAAGTGTGTTTTTAGTTTAGATTTAAAAACCCCTAGGGTCTGGGCCGACCTCACATGGAGGGGCAGAGTGTTCCAGAGCCTCGGGCCAGCTGCTGCGAAGGCTCGGTGCCCTCGGGTTTTTAGCCTGGTCTTGGGCACTACCAGCAGCAGCTGGTCAGCAGACCTTAAAGCTCTGGCTGGGGTGTAGCGCTGGAGCAGTTCAGCTATATAGGCCGGAGCCAGCCCATTTAGTGCTTTAAAAACAAATAAAAGGATTTTAAAATCAATTCTGAACCGAACTGGAAGCCAGTGTAGTGAGGCCAGAATTGGGGTGATGTGGTCGCGCTTTTTGTGGCCAGTCAGCAAACGTGCAGCCGCGTTTTGGACTAGCTGTAAGCGTTTAATTGAGGCCTGGTCCATACCCACATACAGAGCGTTACAATAGTCCAGTCTCGAGGTTACAAAGGCGTTAATAACCCTTTCTAAGTCATTAAAAGATAAATACGACTTGGTTTTGGCCAATAGTCTTATTTAAAAAAAGCAGGATTTTACTACGGTGCTGACCTACTTGTCGAATTTAAAAATGCTAGTGAAGGTCACTCCAAGGTTCATGACCGAGGGGAGGATGTTTTTTTTGATAGAGCCCAGAATATCAACCGGAGAGGCTGGAGGTTGCGGTTACCTGTTGTTGTTTCCTGTATCTTTTCACAGTCTCTGCATTTTCTTGACTTGGTGAGTTGGTGAGAGCATCTGAAGCCTTCCTCACAGACACACCTCATGTCGGACGAGCGGCTACAGTTCTGAACCACCTTCAGATGTGACTCTAGGGGAGTGGGGAAATGGAGGTGATTTTAGGGGGTTTTAATCACTGATATTAATGCAGTTCTGTTCTCATTCCTTTAAGGGTAAATGTAACTGAAAAAATGATAATAATGCTAATAATATTTGCTAAAAATACTGATAATAATAATGTTAATAATAATAATACAAAACAACTTGAAAAATAGGGGGAAAAAGTATGCTTTTAATGCTGATAATAATAATAATGCTAATAATAATAACAATAATATAACAAATAATATGCTAATAATAATTATAATAATAGTACATAACAATTATAATAACAACAAACCTAAAAAACTAAGAAAATAGGAAAAAATAAATATTTAAAACATAAATCACAATAAAAGATCATTTTAATATAAATACAGAAAATATATAAACATATATAATAATAATCCTAATCCTAATAATGACAAAAATATAAGATAAAATGTCATCAAAGAGATGAATACATTCTCCGTTTATTATTAAAGTTCAAAGCTCGTCTTGGCAGCATCATCACTATCGTTGGTGTAGATAACTCGTGTTTCTTTACCTGCGCTGCAGTCTCTGTTGCAGGCGAGGCAGGTTTGTTCACAGTTGAGCTCAGATGTGTAAAATCCTGCAGGACACGACACACACTCTGCACACGACCTCTGATACTCACCTGAGGGAGGAGAGAGAGAGAGAGAGAGAGAGAGAGAGAGAGAGAGAGAGAGAGAGAGAGAGAGAGAGAGAGAGAGAGAGAGAGAGAGAGAGAGAGAGAGAGAGAGAGAGAGAGAGAAGATAATGACAACAACCGGATGAGGTCTCTCGCCCCGAGCGCAGAATAATAAAGGATGTGGTCTCACACAGAGAGAGAGCGTCACTTTCATCGAGACAAACAGAAACATGTTGAAGAAAACCAGAGGTGGGAGGTACATTTAAAACACTGTACTTTATACTTCACCTCTACTATATTCTGTAAACCCATATTTTACTTTTTACACAACTTTCTATTCCACTACAGTTATTGAATTAACAGCTTGAGTGACTTGATACTTTACAGATTCAGATTATAGGCTATGCAACATAAATTAACAAATTATTTAACACATAATTCAAAGTAAAGATATCCATCCACAGTATAAGTTATTTATATAGTAATAATAATAATAATAATAATACATTACATTTATATAGCGTTTTTCCTGGTGCTCAAAGCGCTTTACAAGCAAGTTAAGAAGACACACAATTAGTATTAACCGTATTATTAATATTAGCATTAGTACAAATTAGCTCCATGTACATTAATGCATCAATAATCATAATCCAGTACTTTGACATATGACTCTGAAATTGGTCATTACACTTACTTTTTGTACTTTAAGTATATTAAATGGCATTACTTCTGTACTTTTACTTATGCAAGATTTCGAATGCAGTTTTTATACAATGACATGTTGCTCCTTTACTCAGGTAAGACTTGAGATCTACTTCCGCCGGGACAGGGACAAATCGATACAGCATCTGTGCTTCGTCGTAATTTCCAGGTTAAAACCATTGCTGATTAAATCTTTAGAAACAGTGAGTCAAATCTAAATGACAAACAGATCGAAGAGACAAATAGAAGTTGCTGACAGCAGATTTCATCCTACCTGCAGGACACTTTTTACACCTTCTCCCTTCTGAAAGCTCGCAATGGCTCGCATCGTTCTGTGTACACATTCACATGAAATCAATTAGATACAGAGCTTCTAAACTCCAGCAAAGTCATACATGTTGTTGCACTTTACAGTAAGTGAGAGGCAAAACAAGGCTTTATTTCCTGTGTGACTCTCTACAGATATGTGGGTTGATTTACTGAAGACTTTGTTACCAGCGGAGAGGAGAGCACCAGCTGTGCAGAAAACATCCAGAAGATCACCAAACATTGCACAAGTCCCATCCTGTAGAGAGAGGGGAGAACATGTTGAAATAAATGGTAGATATCAAGTGGTTAGGTCATAAACAAATTAAAGCAGACATCAGTAGACTATCATATTTTAATAAAGAGGCAAGCACATGCTAAAGAAATATTATACAAAAATCAGAATCAGAATCAGAATACCTTTATTAGTCCCTTTTAAAAGTAAAAGAAAACATACTTTCCAAAATGACAAATCCTGTAACAGTTCTTAGGATTTAGCAGCCAGGTATATATTACACAGTTATTAATGGCATATGTATATAATTTATATATTGCACATATAGCACATATTGCACATAGTATGATGGTATTTAACTGCAGCAAGTTACACAATTTACAAGATACAAAATGCAAAAAAACACACCTTGTAACGGTTCTAAGGATTAGCAGCCAGTTATAAATTACACAGTTATTAATGGCATTATGTCTATAATTTATATATTGCACATATAGCACATATTGCACATAGTATGATGGTATTTAACTGCAGCAAGTCACACAATTTACAAGATACAAAATGCAAAAAAACACACCTTGTAACGGTTCTAAGGATTAGCAGCCAGTTATAAATTACACAGTTATTAACGGCATATATATATATATGTAGCAGTGTTTTAAGAAAGTGCACTTTTTGTAAAGTTTAGTGCACCAACAAATACATTCAGAACTAAGCTGTGACTTTAATATAAGGTGGAAATGTAAAAGATTTTACCTTCAATATTGAGCGTGTTTTGTTCTCCTCCTGTGGTTTTGTTAACTTCCTCAAGGTGTGACTCTCTTTGCGTTTTTCTGTAACTGTACCTCTCACTCTACCCATCCTCTGTGTCACCGTTTCCTTGATCTCTGCTCAGCTCTCTCTCACGCACTCTGACGTTTCTGCATCAAAGCCTCATCTCTTTCCATGCAGACTGTGAGACCTGACGGAGGACGAATCAAAGAGACGATCTCTGCGCAACAACATGATCGAAGAGCAGATCACGTTATTTCTCTCCCGATTTGATTTCACAGAATAGCTTAATCACCACATTACTGTTAGACTGTTGAAGGAGCTAACAAAGTTTCCCTTACCTTAATAAGTGGAATCTTACTTTGCCTTGTTCACAGAAAATAAAAAACACTTCTTTGTGATATCCAAGTAGAGTCAGTTATGGGTTAAGTATTAGGATCCAACACGTGATTGCAAAAACACTTGGTTAAAAGTAAAAGTCCTGCATTCAAATCTTATTTTAACACAATTGTTGACAGATAATGTTCAACTTTAAAGTAAAAGTACTCGTCCTGTGGTAGAAGTGGCCCTGTTACAGATTGATCTGTTTTCATCTACTTTAAAAGGTTCTAGTAGTTTCCAAAGTAGGGATCAAAGAGATAAGATCTAGGGGATCATGAGATGTTTAATAAGAGAGGAAAAAAATAAATAGAGGTTATTTAAAAGAAACATTTTGGCAGGGTATTTAACCCTATTGTCTTCGTTTCGCCCCTTACTTTGGTGTTCGCGGTCAAATTTGACTGGTCCTGTTTTAACTGCTATTACATTAACACAAAAACCATTAATCATCACCACATTTCCTTTAACACCCTTTCAAACTGTAAATGTTGTATCAGACTACTGGTATACAAGAAAAACTGTAGTAAATATACAAAGAATAGACACTGAACATGTATTGCGTGGGCCAGGTGTGATTCATGTGGGGGGATTGGCACATAAGAGCGGGAAATGTGTCAAATTGTTGTGTGTGTGTGTGTGTGTGTGTGTGTGTGTGTGTGTTTTATCTGATCCGGATGGTTACTAATTCCTTTTCTTTATGGCGGTCATTTTTGACCGGGAACACCATGGGTGTTACAAAGTTGACTAAATCATCCAAAATTCAATGAAAGAGGTGATCAGCAATGTTATATGTTCAAATGTCTACTGTGAAGGATATCATGAAGCCTTAATGCAATCGAATGTAAAACAAAAAAGTTATGATTGATGAAAGTAGTAAATCGGTCAGATTTGACCCGAAGACAACAGGAGGGTTAATGTGTTAATAATTGCACCTATTTGGGGCATTATTATTTGGAAGATAAATCATACCTCTTCCCTCGAGCTGTGAGGGAATCATTGAGAAATATGTCGCCGCCAGACGTTTTACATTGTGAATAACCTTCATAATAAGACGTTAAAGCAAGATTTAAAGCCATTTGTTGTAGTAGTACTTTAAAGGTGGGGTAGGTAATTCACTTCAGAAACACTTTTTGTTATATTCCATGGAATGCTCTTAACATCCCGATAGCAATGAATAAACTAAATGCTTTGACAATAAATACATAAAAAAATGTCATCTGTGGAAGCCGTGGTACTGTAAAAAGCACGACCAATCATCTGAGCCGGCCCGGCTAAAATAACTGGATGGCCTACCTGCCTGTCAGCCTTCCATCTGTGCACAAACTTACCTCGTGCCCTCATTGGTCATGTGCGCGTTCGTGTGTGTTGGAGGAGGGGCTCTGTAAGGAAGTCTGAAGGAAGAGGCAGATTTTTTCCGGCTGCGTACTTTCAAATTCTAGCGCACTCGAGCTGGTTTCTCCATTCTTACCTACCCTACCTTTCAGTGAAGTACACGCTTTACAATCGCTCTTTGCCAAATGTCCTCGGACCAAAACATTTGGCAAAATGTGACAAACCTGACAAAAAGTGACCTGCTGATCGCGGCCTAAAACATATTTAAAAACAGCAACATGTCTTTCCAAACCAGTGTCCTCGTTTGTTCTGGTAAGAGATGGTGATGTTGTTAAATGCTGTGAGCATAGCAAACACAATACCATTCACCTCCATTGGTTTCTTTGTAATTTCGGTACACAGACCCTTTAATGAAAAGCAGACGGACATGTTGTGTTAAAAAAAATCACACGAGATCGTGTTGCTCAGTTGCATCTTTTATTGTTTCAGTCTCTCTCGACACGTTACATACTGTAGCTCTGCAGTGAAGCCTTTTAGCCTAAATTACTGTCTGGATGTTTAAAGCTGCTTCGTCACACATCTGGAGCACCTCATCAATACTCAAGAGTTATCATCTAATTGCTGTTTGACACAAATTCAATCCAAATGCTTCTTTAAATATGTGAAAGAAATGACAGTGACAACTAAAAAGACCAATCCGGTGCTTTTAGTTTTCGTTTAATTTAGATAATGTTGAGTTTTCTTTCCAGGTGTGTGACTGTGGACATTCTTCATTTGCAGTCTTTGAACACAAGTCTATATTCAAAGCTATATTTCCATTACACATTATAATAATATCAAAGCCATCGTACAGTTCATTTCGCTTAAGCATTTGCATTTCAGTAATTCTGTAATTATTGTTTAGTTTTTTTATAACTTGAGTTATTTTTAAATTGACTTTATTTGGCAAACACATACACTCATAAGGAAAAAGATCCAATGGGAAAAAAAGAACTCCATTGTCTTTTAATTTTAAATATTTACAATTTTGTAGGTGATTTTTGTCAAAAAGACAGCTCAGTCTCAAACAGAGACGACATCAAATTGGACTTGTTACGTTTCCTTCTTCTTCATGTTGTACATTTGCCCCAGTAAAAGTCTTTTTAAAAACACTCACTGTACATAACACCCGAAAACATACACACTGGCACATGCATACATAGAGACTCACTCAGTGCGTTAAACTATACAAAGGGAAATGGTGTTTTCCGTCTCACTCAGTTTGTCTCTGACATCCTCCTTCTGCATTCAAACAGTAGTGGAAACACTGCGATTAGCATTCAGCTAATCCAACAGCCACACATGCAGTTTATATACGATTAAAATCTGTCGTCATACGGTTTCTACGGAAGCCTTGAAAGACAAACGAGAAAACATACATATCGTGGTAATTCATTTTTTAAGTCTGAACTAAAAATTTTATTTTTTATTTTTCTTTGACTTACGAAGAGATACAAATAAAGTTATTTCAAACAAGAATTGAATTTGCTATGTTTTAATGCTTTCATTTTTCAAATTACCTTTTTTTCTATCAGTAAAAATACGTTTTGGCGCTATTACATTTCTAAGTTAGCCTTTTTTATCTGCAAAAACCGGTGGAAAAATACGTTTTCGTGGTGACATTTATTTATTTTCCTAACTTTTGTTGTTGCAATGCTTATTTCGGTCACCAGAATAAACCACTAAACCATGCTCTAAATAAAACTAAAACAGTAGTGTTGTCTTTCAGGTGAGTTGAAAAACTTAAACGGTTTTAGTGCCATTGAGGTAGTGGTGCAATATGGTGGCAAAAAAGAGCATTGCAACAACAAACACGAAAAAGATACTTAACAGATTTAAAGGGGACCTATCATGCAAAATGCACTTTTGTACGTCTTTTATACATGAATATGTGTCCCCGGTGTTCCAGGGAACTCACCAAGTGTCAGAAAACACAACCCTCTCTATTTTCCTCCATACCCAAATCTCTAAAAAAGGGGCTGCAACGGATCTGATAAAAACTGATCCAGATTTGAACACTGTCCTGACGTCAGGACGGTGGCGCTACGGCTATTGGGCCAACTCCACCAATCAGGAGGAGACAGCCACGGCCATTGCCGTTCGAAAGCGCTGGAGACGCTGTAGTACATATGCCAGGCCTGTAGATGGTGCTGTTCTCACTGAATCTGCCCTTGCTAAAACAGAGCTAAAAAATGTCAAATTGAGCAAAATGAGGCATGGCTAAAATACATGATCTGTTTGGTATTTTGAAAAAAAAAAAGTATAAATATGCCTTATATAGGTATGGTCCTACACTATATTATTCAAATATAACATGATAGGTCAACTTTAAAAAATGATCCGTCCATTTGAACTGTGGAAAGAAAATGAAGGAAGACTGGCATAAAACCTTTTCCCACCCATTTTCAATGATAAAATAAAGCAATTATGAAAAAGAATTAAGGAGGATTGTCCTGCCAAAAGACATATTTTGAGACTGTTCTTAAGTCATAAACGTTACATTACATTACATGTTACTTGTTAGACGCTTTTATCCAAAGCGACTGACATACTCAATACTGTGGACAATCCCCACAGGAGCAATTTGGGGTGAAGTGTCTTGCCCAGGGACACAACGACATGCTGACTGCAGTGGGGTTTGAACCTGTGACCCCCTGTTCCGAACACCAACGCACAACCACTGCGCCACACGCCTCCCAAACACAGGAGCGAAAACAGTAAAGATTAGATTTTGAAAACAGATCTCCAATGTGTTTGTCTAGTTTGCCTTTCAGGGCTTCCGTAGCCTTTCTTTATCGTTGAAGAGTTGAAGTGTGAGTCGCAGCAGAAGCAGAGGACATATTTCACCTGATACAACCACACAGAGGAAAATACAGCCAGGAATAAATTTAGACAACAGTGTCCGATAATAGAGCAGTGAAGATTTCCAGCAGTACGCTAATATACTGCTTTACTGTAGCAGTGTGTCGGACTTAAAGTTCATGGTTAAATGTGCACGGAGAAAAGTAAAAATGAGGTATGTGTTCGTTAAATTCATTATTCTAGTATCCCACCTGCAGCAGGAGGAAATATGAACAGAGGAAATATATTTGTATATTTCCAACATGTTTAAGTAATAGTGCTGATTGTTTCATATACATTTTTGCTCTGCTCTGTCTTTCTATGTGCAAACAGGCTCAAAAATAGATCAGTTATATACATCAAGCACCTTGTTGAAATAGCTTCGGCAGCTATAATGATTTTTTTTTACACAGCCATTTTCTGTTGATTCACATCTGACCATTTTATTTTGGCACTCACTTACACTTACTTTATTTTATGACCATCTATGTGTTCAGCTTTTACAATGATTCAGCATTACGGCGAAAGTACTTTATTATTATTTCATCCCACAGCAGAAAAAGAGCCTCAACTGACTCCAGATCAGCGTCAATAAGGTGTTTATAAATCTGAAATGTATGCATGCTTCCCTCTTTGAAACGGCAACATCCTTCTCCGTTGTTACCAGAGACTTTGGGTTTCACCTTTTAGAGTTGTATCTGCAAGTTACAATGCACGTTCAATCCAATTTTTGTTATGCAATATTGTAAATTACCTTGCAAGTAATTGTTTAAATGTCACTCTGACAAATTGACGTGGTTGGCTTTTCTTGGAAACATTTCTCTGAGTTTAAGGGTTGAAATGTTAGTATGGTTTGCATTAGCGACTAAAATGATGCCTAACGCTTAATGCCAATGTTGTTAGTGTTGTTAAAATGTTGGGACATGATGAGACATTTATTCGTAGTTTTATTGCAACGCTAACATCGAGGTAAGCCAGGAAATCCTAAGTAAATCCACAATGGATAACGTGATTAACGGTGGATTATTCACGTTAAATCCAGTTTGGGTTCAGGTGATTTGCAGAACACCAAAACTGTTTTCAGGATTATACCTTCCTCATGTTGGCAGGAGGGAAGTGACATGTTGGCATTCAGAGGCACAACTCTGCTGCACCACAACTCATGATTAAATTATTCATAATATTTCAAGCACATCTGTTATAATGTATTTGTGACTTTACCCTTTTGCTTTGCCTGTGGTGTGAAATGGTACTGCAAAGACAGAAAGCAAGCTGTGAATCTGCAGCTGTTAGGCAGTAAAATGCTGAATCATGACATATTTTTACACCTTAAAGTCCTAAGCTTATCATTATATTATCAAACTGACGGATAACACTCAGACATACACTCCAGGATAGCCGTTGTTGCAGTACTTAAACTATCCCTATCATAGTTTTTTGTTTGTTTCGTGATAGAAGGTAAATTACAGGCATGTACATTTGTGTGGAGTGGATTCTTAGTGACCTTGCAGCAAGTTTTGCTTGATTATTTTCAGATGCCCAGTAGTTTAACTATTATTTTTTGTGGAGTGAATACATCATGCTATGCTTTCCTGCAGCCTACATCTCTGCACTGCATTTAGCCTGTTTACTTACAATAAACTACTTCAAACGTAAGTATTTTCACAAGAAAATCCAATTATAGATTTCCCAATTCACACATGTATCTACCGCTATCCAACTCTGGATAACAAGACCTCTCCTCTCCGCAGGGCTTTGACATCTTGTCGTTTGCAGGAAGGATTTCCAGCACGACTGCGTAAATGAAGCGGCTCGTCTGTAAACATGGTGTTGCCTTTGTTACAGGAGTGTGTGTTGCGTTGGTGTGGTACTGTAGCTGGATGTGGTGGAGCCCCCCTCACTGCCGTCACTGTGAGGAGGGGTCAGGATCTGCCAGAGTTCGAGGAAGAGGGTGGAGACGATGAAGATCTGTTGCTTTCTCTCTGCTCGCCTCGCTCAGCGGAGGCAGGAGCTGCAGGGTCACTGAGACACACAGAAACAAGGACATGAAGACATGCTTAAAGGGCCCATGTCATGCTTTTCTGGTTATAACCCGTCCCCTTGTGTGTTATGTAGCTTTTTATGCATGTAAACGGTCTGCAGAGTCACAAACCCTCAAAGTACACCCTGTAGCGAGTAAAACTCTAACACAGAAAATACCTGTCTATGCTGCCCCAGAACGCTTCGTTGGAGATTTCTCTTTTTCCATTGTTTACTTCTTGGGTACAGTGACGTATTTCGGGTATAGTGACGTAACATAACGTAACGGCTCCGCAGATTGGTCCAAAAGAACCAATCCGCGAAGCCGTTACGTTACGTCCGCGGAGCCGTTACGTTTGGACCAATCCGCGGACTTCCTCACACACACACACTCGGCGGGACGTTGCGAGGCTCGCTGCTGCGAGGAGCGGGACACTGTGAGCAGCGAGACACCGCGGAACTCAGCCTGGGCACACACACAAACTCCCAGCCAGGCTGCGGGTGTGTGTGTGTTTGGGGCTGGGTTTCGCTGTGTCTCGCTGTCTCGCAGACACTTAGGGCTGGGCAACATTGCAATATTATATTGATATTGTAAAATGAGACCTTAGATCAGGGCTATTCAATTAGTTTGGAATGGGGGCCGGTTGATGAAAATGATCCAAAGCAAGGGGCCGGGAAAAAGATGGCAATCATATTTAAGAGCTTCAGATACAGTAAATACTACAACAGCATAGTGGAGTGCATATATTGTGTTTAATTCAATCAAACAACATAGCCCCAAGGCCTTTATAGATCTAAATGGCAAGTTCAGAACTCAGTAGGCCTACATGTTTAATTTGATTTCATTTAGGTGAAATGATCTAATCATTCACGCAGAGATGCAATCAATGACAGGAGTTGTCACTACAGTATAGTAGGTGGGTTTCGAAACCCGAGCCCGTCGAAGTTTTCAGGCATTGTCTACCCCTCTATCTCTCAATGTAACACCCTCTCTGGAATAAAGGCACTATGGCACAAAAAAAAAAAAAAAAAAAATCTTAAAAAAAAAAAATGTATTACTTTTTAACATTATACTCAAAGGGCCAGTAAATATCACCCCGGGGCCGGATTTGGCCCGCGGGCCGCCAATTGAATAGCCCTGCCTTAGATCATGCCTACTGTAGATGTTTCATTATATAGGAATCACAGCAACACAGTCAAATGTATTGCCTTTCAACTATAGCTGGTCAACATGTCATGTGATATTGATATTGATATATGAGACGAGATATAGTCTTAGAGTTTGAAAATTGTAATATAGTACAATAGGTAGGTGATTGATAGGTGTCTTCTCTGGTTTTAAAGGCTGCATTACAGTAAAGTGATGTCATTTGTAACCCACTTATACATTTAACAAATTGGAGAAGATAATTGTTGTATTACAGATCATCTATTGAATGTTTTAATATTGTTTCTAAATGTTTAAAATGAAAATTCAAGTAAAGTCCCCTCACAAAACTGAAGAAATAGTCAAATAAATTGAAAAAGATTGCATTACCAAGACTAAAATGCCAGTGAGTAATCGTATGTGTACGTGTCTGTCTGTCTGTCTGTCTGTCTGTCTGTCTGTCTGTCTGTCTGTCTGTCTGTCTGTCTCGGTCTGTCTGTCTGCCTGCCTGCCTGCCTGTCTGTCTGTCTGTCTGTCTGTCTGTCTGTCTGTGTGTGTCTGTGTGTGTCTGTCTGTCTGTCAGTCTGTCTGTCTGTCTCTTTGTCTGCCTGTCTGTCCGTCCGTCTGTCTCTCTGTCTGTCTGTCTGTTGAAAAATATTGCATTACCAAGACTAAAATACCAGTGAGTAATCGTATGTGTACGTGTCTGTCTGTCTGTCTGTCTGTCTGTCTGTCTGTCTGTGTGTCTGCCTGTCTCTCTGTCTGCCTGTCTCTCTGTCTGCCTGTCTCTCTGTCTGTCTGTCTGTCTGTCTGTCTGTCTGTCTGTCTGTCTGTCTGTCTGTCTCTCTCTCTGTCTCTCTGTCTCTCTGTCTGTCTCTCTGTCTGTCTGTCACCTGTCTTCGTCTCCGCTGTGAGTGATGAGTCTCCTGCAGGTCTCCATCTGGACGTCCAGGCCTCTCTTCATGGAGCACATCTCCATGTACTCGTGCAGGTGTCGGTTCATGTCGCTCTTCGCTGTGGCCAGCTCCAGCTGCAGGCAGAGAACATACAGACACATTTAGTTTATGTATTTGTTGATTCCACACATGGCAGTTATTTTAAAACAAAACATGTACACTTCAAAATCTTATTTGACCTGCCCCTTCTTGAAAATAAAAATTAAATAACCATAAAAAAGTAAAATAAAAGCAATATTCGTTCAGTCAGAGTTGCTTACAAATACTGAAACATAAAACCAGAACACAATCAAAAGTCAACTTCATGTCAAATTACACTTTCTTTATACATTTTCTTAAAGGTGGGGTAGGTAAGTTTGAGAAACCGTCTCGAGTGCGCTAGAATTTGAAAATACACAACCGGAGAAAATCTGCCACTTCCTTATAGAGCCCCTCCTCCAACACACACGAACGTGCACATGACCAATGAGGGCACGAGATAAGTTTGTGCCCCGATGGAAGGCTGACAGGCAGGTAGGCCATCCAGTTATTTTAGCCGGGCCGGCTCAGATGATTGGTCGTGCTTTTTACAGTACTACGGCTTCCACAGATGACATTTTTTTATGGATTTTTTGTCAAAGCACTTAAGATATTTATTGCTATCGGGATGTTAAGAGCATTCCATGGAATATAACAAAAAGTGTATCTCGAGCCGGTTTCTCAAACTTACCTACCCCACCTTTAAACATAAAAAATGTTCTTACAACCCTTTAAATCATTCGGCAAAGAATTCCACTTAAAGTAGTATGTGCAAACTGATGCTTAAAATTTCATTTCCTCCTATGATCTTACTAAGTTTGTGATTATGCATTTACCGAAAGTGTGTTTAAACCATGAAATACTGTGCAAATGACTGCTGCTGAGCACCACACTGCTGGATGAAACTCTTGTATGTCATGTCTTAGTGAAAATGTATTCTTGCTTATGTGCGGGATTAATATAAAGTATACAGTACACTGCAATTAAATAAGAAAAGAAGAGAGAGAAATGTATTCATTTTTGAGCCTCGTGGAGGAATTCATCAGTCCAGGGGAAAATGTGCCATACAGTATGAGTCACTTAACGCTGAGTCATTATGTAAATAATCTTCAGAGCACTGCATAACAACACATAACACTGCATCAAGAGACAAAAACAATGCATGTAAAACAGTCCTTTTTATCGTGAACAACTCAAAGCTGTATTAGTAAGATAGGAAAAGACATAGATATTGTATATATGGATGATGCACAAAAGAGAAAGCCATTAAAAGCTTTTTGATTAGATTTCTAGCGAGAAGTGTTCATTTCATTTCAAACCTTTATTTATTCAGGTTGTATCCCATTGAGATCATTGACCTCTTTTTCAAGGGAGACCACAATAAGTGTATATTGTACTTTTAGAATCTACGTCCAGTGGGATCTATAGTTTGATAGATATTACGAAGATGATTTGAGGTCTCGCCAGGAGAACGTGTATACTACGTCTTTCCCCACAGCGTCCATGTAAAGTTGGCGTCAACCCTCACGGGGTGAAAACAGTTTTTCCGGTCTCTAAGTTTTCATAATAAAACCGGAAGTATTCCCCTCACTGTCAAATGATTACACAGTGATATATCTGCCGTACTCATCCACTAAGAAACATCAGTTTATCCTTGTTAATTACACAACATTGATTGGTTTAAATTGTGTACAATGCTTTTGTGTTTTAACCTTCGATTCGGTGAAACAAATATTTTTTCGGAGTTTAGGATGGCCGAAGACACTACACTACCCAGAATCCTCAGCTACGTGAACTACTTATTCTGGATACTGTTTTTGCTTTTGAGTCTATTCATGCCTCTTTTCCTTTTCCTTTTCTCCCATGCTTTGTATATGCAACACCTAAAGATTGCAGACAATAATGGTGTCTTGTTATTCCTAGTATGCCATGGCACAGAGAAATAACAATGAATGAATGAAGAAATACATGAACAGGGTCATTTCTGGAGTTTAAATAAACAGAGATGGGGTCTGACCTCAATCTGGTCGATGGTCTCCTGGTATTCCTTCTCTCTGGACTGGAAGAGACATTCTGTGTCATTGATCACCTTCTCCAGACAGTCCTCCTGCTGTAGGGAGAGAGGAGAGATGTTCAGACTATCTTTGTTGGTATAGATATGCATGTGATCAAATATAGTAACACAGAACATGTGTTTGTGTGGTAATCATGACACAATCAGACACAACTGTAGGTGCGGTAACACGACTATCAAAGCCCAGATAGCTAGATAGGTTATGTTCAGCTCAAATTTCCCCGACTGATGCAGATCCTCCCCTCAGAGAGACAAATAACACACGGCCGGTGAATGAAAACAAATACCTACATGCATCACTTGGAAACAACTTAACTGCACGTCCATACAGGCTAGACAGAGCATCTGTTTTAGTGTGTGTGTGTGTGTGTGTGTGTGGTGTGTGTGTGTGTGTGTGTGTGTGTGTGTGTGTGTGTGTGTGTGTGTGTGTGTGTGTGTGTGTGTGTGTGTGTGTGTGTGTGTGTGTGTGTGTGTGTGTGTGTGTGTGTGTGTGTGTGTGTGTGTGTGTGTGTGTGTGTGTGTGTGTGTGTGTTTCTGTCTGTGTGTCTCCTGAATCGCCCCAGACACAGCGGAGCATTGAAGGTCAGTGTGAGACAAATCTAAATCGACCATCTTAATCTGCTGCTGCTCGGCACATCATCTCCACATCAGAAGTTTAAAAGCTTCTTTGAAGTCTGGACGGAAAATATCGACTAACAAGCAGCAGTCTGAAGGATGCTAGGAAAGGTTCAGATCATTATCATATGCACAAAGTATACCCTCTCAAGTGTCCTTTGCTCGAAAAATAGTGATTTAGCAGAACAGAATAAAGCCCTGTCACTGGCTGGGGACCTCCATTAATATGTAATGATTGTAGCGGTCTTCTGTGATCTAAATCTCCTGTGATTTGGAGTGTTTTTTTAAATTTATTTTGAGGCTTCTTACTACCTCCTTCCTAGAGGAGATTTATGGAGGCTGCAATAGTAATAATAAATGACAGTTTTGACAGATTCAGATTCAGGAGGCTCATGTCACTACACAGACCCAGGAGATCAATTAGCATGGCGAACAAACAAAACGAATGACAATAAAAGCCTTGAATCTTGAATCTTGAATTGAAACATCTTTGTGAATATTATATAAACATCAACAGGCTCATAGCAGATGTCACGCAGAGCATTAATATCATATTCACTGATAATCTCAGTAAATTCAAGTAGTGTGACATCGTGACGTCAGTATGATACGGAAGTAAAAAACTCCCTCTGGACGGACCCTTGGGATTTGAGCCTTTGCAGACCATTTAAATGCACAACAACCTTTATAACACACTACAGGAAAGAGAAAACCCCAACAAGGTATAATAGGGTCCCTTTAAACCACATGTGTCAAACTCAAGGCCCGGGGGCCAAATCAGGCCCGTGGTGGATTTAATTTCGGCCCGCAGGATAATTTCTAATTACTATTAGATCTGGCCCGCCGGTATATTGCACACACACCTTCACTCAATCCTGAGGGTCTCCTCAGCTCAGAGCCTGACCCCAAACATTGATGAACTTGCACCCAAGATGAGATGCCAAGTATCTGGCTTGAACTAGCATCACAGAGCAGCACACTGAGTTTCAATGGATGTTTCCTTCTGCACTTTCTTTCTTGAGACAACAGGGCATGTTTGGTTTGTTCTTTGAGGGAAATAGTTTTTTTGAAGCTGTTGTTGGCCTGTGGAGAAATGTAATCATAAGAAATGACTCTGGAAAAGCTGCAGATAGAGCCATAAGAAATGAATGCAAGTGATTATTCAATGTTTAATGTTGTTTTTATAGGCAATAGTTTAAGCTTTGTTAGTTCCAGGTTTAATATGTGCAATAAGTTCATTTCAATAAGTTTTGCAATAAACATTGAACCAGTCCGGCCCTCGACTAGTACCCATTTTTTTATTTTGGCCCACTGTGTATTTGAGTTTGACACCCCTGCTCTAAACTGTTATAACTAGCTTTCTATGTCTAGGTATTGTCTTTCTGTTCTGTATCTGTATTTCTTAAACAAAGTGACATTTGAAATAAGTCGTGCATCTCCAATCTACCTCTCCTGGTGGGTGGCTGGGGTCAGGAGGCAGAGTGCCACCTGGGAAGTCCTCCCAAAGCAGCAGGGTCTCTTCAGTCTCCTCCCAGGCCAGACTGTCGCAATCATCCTCAAACTCACACTCACGCCTAAAACAGAAACAGAAACACACATTTAAAGAAATAATTAGTGTTAGTGCAGAAACATTATACTCATCATATAAGCGCTTTAAGCACCAGGAAAAGCTCTTCCTCGCTAACTGCATTCAAAAATCACTCAAAACCCACCTGTTCAACACTGCATTCAAACTCTGACCACCCCCCCCCCCTCTTTTCTGTCTCTTCATGTATTTTTCTTCGTTTTTTGTTTTATTCTCTGTCTAAGCGTCTTTGAGTTTTTAGAAAGGCGCTATATAAGTGTCATGTATTATTATTATTATTATTATTATTATTATTATAAATTAAATGTATTATTATTATTATATTTCATCATCCCACTCACAGTTGGTTCAGCATCCTCTGCATCTCCTCGTTGATCTGATTGGCCGAGGAGCCACCCCCCCCCCTCGCTCTCCGAGGTGCTGACGGACTCGTCACACTCGCTGCCGTTGAAGGACAGAGGAGTCTGTTTGCGGCGACAGTTCAGGGATGATTGGTTGTTAGGAACCTGCGGGCAAACGTTAGCATTCAGAGCGCCACCATAAACACACAAGACAAACTCTAACAGGAAGTGGCTGTGTGGATTTGATAACAGAAGATCAGATAATGTAATGTAATGTAATGTAATTTAGTCCTGTGCTGTGTCTCAATTCAAATATAACTTATTAGCTAACTGCCACGTTGTGTACTGTGGTGTTGCAACTGTTATTGTTATTGTTCCTGGGAGCAAATCTTCACAGACGGCTCAATTTAGAGAATACAATTAACTGTGGTTAGCGGCTCGACACTAAAGGGGTTGTAGGTGTTGGGGAAATATTTCCCTGGGCCCATAACTTTGACCCAGTTTATCAGTTTGTTCTGACCTCACTGAGCACAACCTTGGCTGCTGTGCTCTCAGTGTTTGTCTCCCTGTTCCTGCCTGTTGGCGTCAGCTGATAGAGGTGTTATGGTTTTATCTTGGTATGCACAATGTTGATTCTTCTCTCAGAACTAGCTAAATACATGGGGCTGGGGTAGAGCACATGTCTTGTGAATTCTCTGACCGAAGCTCCAAATAAACCATCAGTGTTTGCCATCAAAGTTCCTGCTCTCCTCGTGTCTCTCTGAGTCTCCATCGCTTCAGAAGTTTCCATCACAGTAGGTTTATTCAATGGTGCACAAACCCACATGTTTTACTTTTTTGAACATGCTCTGGTACCTGGTACATCTGGATGACGTCCTCACAGTTCCTCTGCTGAGCCACGTCACAGAGGCGCGCGGTGATGTCGATCCGGCGGCAGATGTCCATGTCCACCTTCATGGCTTTCTCCTGGATCTTACTGTCCAAGTCTGACAGGTTCTGCAGAGAGGAGGGAGGGAGACAGATCAGACACCGTTCAAAGATAAATGGTGTAGGAGCCATTTTGATGAGAGTTCCTGTTTGGGATTTGGGCTGTCACAGTTGGGTTTTTCACTGTGTGTGCGCCATAAGGGTGTCGCTGTCAGATTCCCTAAGGCACAGGTATTTAAGGTTTATTTTGTCACCTGATCGGGTGTGTCTGACCCCGGAAGGGCAAATGGTTTTTGACCGCAGTACCGGGAGTGGGAATACGGAAAATAATGTTTGTTTAATGGATAATTGTATGGACTTCACTTACACGACAACACAACGGTATCTATTGGCTAAAGCTGCTACAAACGGTATGAATGAAGCTTTAAACGGCTCTTAACATGACTGTGTGTTTCTACTTGATAGTGGTTCAAGTATATTAATGAACTCTTAACGTATGGACTGGGGACTTGATGATCTGCAGCCTTTTCCAGGCATTAAATGATCAAATGGTCCGTTAGCGTGGTTGCCCCTTATGAATTAAAGGGCTAGCCAAAAAGACAAGCTGAAGAAGGATAAACACATCCAGACCTGGCAACCAAAAGTTACAAATAGTCCAATAAGTCAGAGTTTTGTTTCAGATGGCACACTCAGGACATTAAAGGCAAGGCAAGGCAAGTTTATTTATATAGCACCTTTCAACACAAGGCAAATCAAAGTGCTTTACAAAAATGAAAGACATTAAGAAAATGGCATTTAAAAACAGTCATTAAAAAGCAAAGATAATAAAATAAACATTAAAACAACTTGTAGCAGGACAGGGGGAAAAGTAAACACACTCCGACAGATTCCCTGAGAAAAAGGGGAGTGGCTAATCAAGCCACCCCTGGCCGTCCACACAGCGGCGTTGGAAGCTTCTGAAGCTTCAAAAGTTGAGCAATGTTCAACTTTTGAAGCTTCTGAAGCTTCGGTGGAAGCGTCAGCCAATCAAATCCCGTTTATGCAGCCAATCAAACCGCGTGTATGCTGGGAGAGACACACCGCAGGTCATTTCCTCATATTCCAAAAAATGGAGCAAGCTTCAACGCACGCCGCTGTGTGGACGGGCCATGAGAGAAGCTGGAGGAAACCAATCAAGGAAATGATTGGCACCTGTGTGCTGTTAAAAGGAGGACAGCATGTCATTCAACAGAAAGAGAGAAAGAACCAAGAGGAAGTCGGATCTAGCAAGGAAGAAAGTGGATTCTTATGGACTTCATCAGAGAAATCAGGCGATTTTGGGGAGTTTTGCCACTGAACCCATGAGCTGTTGGGGAACACATTTAACTTTCCCCTTCCCAGTTAAACCCTGCAATCCTGTCACCCTCAGATAAGTTATTCTCACTACCCCAATATCATTTCCCCTCCTCTTGCACTCTACACCCACACACCACACTCTGGACTGGAAACAATGAACTTTACTTTCACACATCCCTATCCCCTGAACTACACTCTTAAACTGAGTGACAAAGGACACACTCACTCACAGTCAATCCCCATGATGTAAACAATCGTAGGCTCTCGGAGTCAAATAAGTAATTGATGTTTTGTGAGTTAATTTGACTTATTTGTTTGTGTTTTTGCATCTATTGGATTTAAGTTTTTCTGGTAAATGGTCTGTGACATGAGTTGTTTGTTTAATGTACTGATTATGATTTGGGGTTGAAAATACAGACATTTGATGTTGAAAGCGAATTGGTTGATTATTAGTTTTCCTTTGTAAACTTCAGTAGCTAGGTCCCCGGGCTATCCCTCTGTTTCTGCGTGTTTGAGCATATCATTTTTTTGACAGCTGGCTATATTCAATATTCCTCTGTCTGGCGCCCACATTAAATTGATTCATTCAGGGATAACACCTACGCTACAGAAATGGCGCCCAATGTGGGGCTCGTTGACATTCATTTAAAAAAGTGAAGAAGAAAAAAAGGGGGGGTTTAAAAATGTAAAGTGAAAAAATACATTGTGTTTGTTCTTCATGCATATTTGCTTGGTTGGTTTTGCATATGCTCTGCAAGGTTTATCCGTCTGTCATATTGCCTTTGACTGTTTAAGTATTTACTATGTGAATGTATTTGTACACATTTCATACAATTCATTCAGGGATAACACCTACGCTACAAACTTATGAAATGAGGGGTTTCTTATTCAAAGTGAATAATATCCTATTCATTTACTTATTTACAGAGATGGAGGCCACAGTCAATCCACGGAGAAGCAAACATACATATAGAGACTCTTAACGTGCATATCTTTGAGAATGTTTTAGAAGTGTTTGGGTCTTACGGTGCTCACATTGCTCATGAGGCCTTTGAAGAGCACCAGCTCTGCCTTCAGCTGCTGGACTCTGACAGCCAGCTCGTCCTGACAGCCCTCGCTCTCCTGCAGGTCCTGCACACATGAGAGAAAGACATGAAGAACAACAACGAAAACACACTCCTACACACAAACACATGTCCGGCCACATCGATTAACTGGAAAGTAAAGGGTACACTCTGCAAGCAGGAGGGCGTCAACAGAATAAAAGCCTACTGTATATCTGCAAAGTGCATGAAAAAAAAAAAATGGATATCTTGAATTCATAATCTCCCGAGGTGATCTCTAGATCAGTGGTTCTCAACTGGTGGGTCGCGACCCAAAAGTGGGTTGCGGACCCGTTTCGAGTGGGTCGCCAATGTGAGTGTTGAAAAAAGTCAAACTTTTATTTTGAAGGCCTGATTTTCTAACGCTGTGCATGCAGTAGGCAAACACATAATGAAATATGACCCCCGGTTTGATGATTGACAGGTCAGAGGTCACAGAACAATGGGAGCTATCTACCCTTATCCACAATTTAAAGTAATTCACACACTCTCTCCTCTTTGCTCTTCTCTCTGTGTGGAGCAGCAAGCTGTCAGAACAAAGTGAAACACAAACAATGGCATAAAATATTATTAATATGTCGGGTAGTAATAGATTTATTTATTTTCTTCTCAGAGTGTACCAGAATGCGTAGTTGATATGTTAGTATTTCCAAAAATCTCCTGGGGGAGAATTCCCCAGACCCCCTTCTGGGGTTGGGTTTTCAGCATGTTTGCCTTTTTGTGTTATACAGTTCAGCTTTGATTCCATCATCTCATTAAACCTTTTTTAAAAGCATACTTTAGTTCTGTGAAGGGATATAAGGGATATATGCACTGTACTTCACTTTAATTCATATTGTATGCTGCAAAGCGTATATTACAGGCAAGGCAAGGCAAGGCAAGTTTATTTATATAGCACCTTTCAACACAAGGCAAATCAAAGTGCTTTACAAAAATGAAAGACATTAAGAAAATGGCATTTAAAATCAGTCATTAAAAAGAAAAGATAATAAAAGAAACATTAAAAGAAAAAATACATGGATAAAAGTTACAGTGCAGTTTAAGATGTGAATAGTTCAATTAAAAGCAGCGGCAAAAAGAAAAGTCTTCAGCCTGGATTTAAAAGTAGTAAGAGTTGCAGCGGACCTGCAGGTTTCTGGGAGTTTGTTCCAGATATTTGGAGCATAATAACTGAACGCTGCTTCTCCATGTTTAGTTCTGACTCTGGGGACAGAAAGCTGACCAGTCCCTGAAGACCTGAGAGTTCTGGATCATGGTTCATAATTTAGCAGTAGGTCAGACATGTATTTTGGGCCTAAACCATTCAAAGCTTTATAAACCAGCAACAATATTTTGAAATCTATTCTTTGACACACAGCATGATTTTTTGTTGAATAGATTTGAGTGGTTCGACATTTTGGGTCGCGATCTATTGACAAAGGAAAAAGTGGGTCCCGAGGCCTGACCAGTTGAGAACCACTGCTCTAGATGTTTCTGATGGGATAAGAAGTATCTGTTCCTCCCGTTGACTTCATTCACATGTGCAACAGTATGAGTTAGGACCCTTCTCAGTCTCAGAGGTGTTTTTCTGCTTGTGGTCTTGCGTTGCGGTGCTGCTAGCTAAACGGGGTCAGGTAAAGATTCCTGGCAATGGTACACAGTGTTCAAACACACAAGACATCTACACACACACCTAGCTACCCACACACTCACAGGAAATGAAAGGGTTTATAAAAGAAACAGCTGCAGGAAACACAGTAGCTAACGGTTTGATATAAAAAAGAAATCCTTCATATCACTACAGGGACAGCATTTAGAGCCATAAACACCAGAGGCAAAGTAAGGCGTTTCACTTCCCAAAGAAAACACATATCTTAAAACACACAGGGGTATATAAAGCGATGAAAACATATTTGTAACCAAAGTTATTGCCTAACAAACACAGAAAACAATGTTTAAAACACAACAAATATATATGTATAGGAGGTTCTGGATGTGGTGATGTGTAGTTTTGCTAGATAATATGTCTAGAGAGTCATAAGTGTACGTTTTTATCTACACTTAATTACTCATATTAATTTAACTCTGTGATATAATGTCTTGCTATTTGCTACCTTAAGTGTTTGCCGTTTATGTTGTCTGCAATGTTCAATGTATTTATTCAAATGTCTTGATTTCTGATGACTGAAATAGAGTAAAGAGGGAGAAACACAAGTTGTTTATGAATGAAAATGTAAATGGCTAGAAAAGAGTGAACATTGTTGGAAAGAGAAGCTCTGTTTAAAATATGTTTTGAAATATGTGGACGGTATATTCTTGACTGGAAGACTAGCCACACTAACAATAGATTTCTGTGACTCTGAAATGATAACTGTTGTTGCACTTTTAATCAAATGATGGTCAGTGGTATAAAACCAATTAGAAAGGAGTGCATGAGCTCTGTATGAGTCACTGTGTGTGATTCATGCTGCACAAAGGAAGCAGTCTGCAATGTGAGGGCTGCAGAAACTCACTGATGTTATCAGAGAAATTAAAAGCCTCGTCTAAAATATGTAACCACTAGCTCTGTGATTATTCCTGTTGATAGGGCAGGAAAACACACCACATATGCTCAGGGTATTGTAAGGTGAGATAAGCCTCAACTGAAGCATCATGTCCAATAGTTTAAATGACTCAGGCTGATGTCAACGCTCGCGCGCGCACGCACGCACGCGCGCACGCACGCACGCGCGCGCGCACGCGCGCGCACACACACACACACACACACACACACACACACACACACACACACACACACACACACACACACACACACACACACACACACACACACACACACACACACACACACACACACACACACACACCACACACACACACACACACACACACACACACACACACACACACACACACACACACACACACACACACACACACACACACACACCTCTTGCAGGTCAGTCATTTTCTGCTCCATGTCCACCCTCATGGTGTATTCCTCTTCCCATCTGAAAGACACAAAGAAATAAGACTCAAACAACATTTTAGTGCATTGTAAAGCAAACACATAGGCCATGTTTTCAACGTGCACAAATGATCTTTTTTATTTATACATCTTATAGATTAACTTAGAAAGACACTAACCCATAATTGAGCTATTTCACAAAGTTGAAAAGCCAACAGAATGACTCACTATTTCCAGATGTTAAACAATAGTGAGTCCAAGATGGATGAGACTGTTAAACATGGATTTGAACAATGCTGGATATAGAGCTCAAACAATGAATCAGAAAAATTCAAGCCAATTGTTTTGGTTATTAAACATTTTTAAAGCATTATTTGATGCAAAAAAAAATGGAGTACATTAGCCTGTTACTCTGTTTTGTTTCATATAAAAATGTAATATCTTTGGGTTCTGCGATAACACATTACAGTACATGTCACTTGTTAGACGCTTTTATCCAAAGCAACTTACATACTCAATACTGTGGGCAATCCCCACAGGAGCAATTTGGGGTGAAGTGTCTCAGGGACACAAAGACATGCTGACTGCAGTGGGGTTTGAACCTGTGACCCCCTGATCCCAACACCAACGCACTAACCCACTGCGCCACACGCCTCCGTAGACAATAACACAATAAGACTTTGGACATGTAGAAACTGGGATAGACATTTTTTCTTGACATTTTATGGACCAAACGATGAATCTAGAAAATAATCAGAAGATTATTATTGGCTATGAAAATAAGAGTTAGATGAAGCTCTAGCTGGATGGGAAACTCAGGGTGTTTCTCAATGTCGAGGAGGCTTGCTTGGTAGCACATGTACCTCCGAGTGAGTTCCTTCAGACGCGAGGCAAGAATACCTCCTAGTCTCGGAAAACGAAGAATGGAACAGGCGAGCAAGTGTGCAGGTGTGCAACAACATACGATGATTCACACATTTGTCAAGATGAATCAATTTATTTTTCCATTTCACCATATATCCCTCCTTCAGAGTGTGTCTGGTGTGTGTGGTTGAACTGGTTTAGCTTCCCCCGTCTAAAACCAGCCCCTTCCCCATTAACAGACATAATATAGCAAATATGAGACCAAGGGGTGTCAACAAATATATTCAGGGGCGTAAACAGGGGCGGACTAGCCACGAATCCCGATGGGCCGGTACTGAAGTGGGCCGGTCGGATAAGTCACTAGCACCCACGCCCCCCCGTCGACAATTTCCTAGCGGTATTTAATTGCGGCACCGAGGTGGGGCCGCTCGGATAACTCACTGCCACCCCCCCCCCCCCCCATTGGAACAGTCCTTCGGCGGCACTCGATGACGTAGCATCCTAGGAGCTCTGGAGCAGCTTTAGCTCTGGAGCAGCTTTACTCGACATTGAGAAACACCCCATGTATACTAATAAAGACATGTTAAACAATTAAAAGAAAAACAAAACGTATATAATGAACTCAGTCAATGGCTTCTACAGTCAGTATACACATCTGGGGAACAACATGATCAGGTGCTGGATTCTTTATTTTACAACAACCAAAATTCGGCAATTTGATTTCAATGTGGCCTGTGGATCTGACTTCAATATGTGAAAGCAGTTTAGTGAAATTCAATCAGGATATCAAGTGAAATGAAATGAGGTGTAGACAGTAAAAATGTGAGTGAGAGATTTGCTGACTCGCTCTCTGATCAAACGCTTGCTTGATGAATTATTTGCCACTATGGTGCAGCCAATAACATGACGACTGGCTCATGAATCTGAACTTTAATACATTTAAAAGCCGGAGCACGGATCCTGCATGTGATCTCAGATTCAGTGACTTCACACGGCACATGTTCCCAGAGGAGGCGTGCTCTCTGCAGAGTCTGAATTATATAAGGCTGCTTTAAATGCAGGATGCTGCGGCACATCAGACCTTCAGGGAAAACTAAACCTGAGAGAAACTGAGTCATGAAAGAGCAGTTGTTTATGTTGTAGAGGATGCTTGTTTGATCAGTAAGGTGAGAGCGAACAGAAAGTGGAGAAGTGCATCCTTCTGCAAGCCAAGCCCCCCCCAGCAGTAACTGTTTGGAGCGCATGGTGCATTGCAGATAGAGTGAGGAGTGAGGAGAGGGGGAGGCGCAGTGGGAGAGAGCATGAGAGAAGGAGAGAGGAAGTGTGAGGGGTATACATGAGACAGAGAAAGGGGGGAGTGGTGGGGAGGGTAAAGGGGTAGAAAGAGAAGTTGTCCTTGAAGGAAAAATCCATTATGAATGGGTAAAAGAGCTCGAGAAGGAAATCAGAAAGGCTGCACAATTAATCAAAATGTTATCGAAATCGCAAAATGGACTGGTGCAATATTCAAAATGCAAGAAGCACAATATTTGTTAAAGGATTAAAGGTGGTGTAGGTAAGTTTGAGAAACCGGCTCGAGATACACTTGTTGTTATATTCCATGGAATGCTCTTAACATCCTGATAGCAATGAATATCTGAAGTGCTTTGACAAAAAATCCATTAAAAAATGTCATCTGTGGAAGCCGTAATACTGTAAAAAGCACGACCAATCATCTGAGCCGGCCCGGCTAAAATAACTGGATGGCCTACCTGCCTGTCAGCCTTCCATCTGTGCACAAACTTATCTCGTGCCCTCATTGGTCATGTGCGCGTTCGTGTGTGTTGGAGGAGGGGCTCTGTAAGGAAGTGGCAGATTTTCTCCGGCTGTGTATTTTCAAATTCTAGCGCACTCGAGCTGGTTTCTCCAAAATTACCTACCCCACCTTTAAATGTTGTCCAACTCCCCCTGGAGTTGGACAACAAATCATATTCTACAAAACGTATTTGTTCAGTACAGATCCTGCTTATGAAATAAAGAACAAATAAGTACAGATGCAGGGTATAGAAATAAGTAGCAGCTAGAGTTAGTGAACATGTGAAAAACGGTGAACTAGCAGCCAGTTTTAACATTATTTAATTGTGAAAGTAGAGTGTTGTTACCATCCTACAGTCTAAGGTAGTGAAATTAGCTCAAATAAAAGGGGTTAAAGAGGACATAAGATGTTCAGGTGTATATCAGTATGTAGTGTCTCTCCTGGCACATGTCTCCATGCTTTAATGTTCAGAAAGCTCTTTATTTTTCTCATACTGCCTGTGCTGCAGCACCTCTTTTCACCCTCTGTCTGAAACCAGAGCCCAGTCTGCTCTGATTGGTTAGCTGCCCGGCTCTGTTGTGATTGGTCAACCGCTAAGAGATGTCCCGCCCCTTAGCCTATCACGGACAATGTGTTGTAGCGCTAGCCAATAGAAGCACAAGTGTTACATAATGATGTCACTTTGTTATGGAAGTAAACAAAGGAGTCCAATTGAGGCGTTTCAGGCAGGGGGGGGGGGGAGTGTGTGGGAGAGAAACTCACTCTGGAGGGAACACAGGGATTTGAGTCTTTGCAGACCATATGACCTTACACAGGCAATAAAAGACATTACATTATTACCTCAGGATCTGTTTTTAAATCATTGACAGCACAGGTAATGCAAAACAGGCTTACATCCATTGTCTCGAGGTAAACTGACACATAAAGCAAGCTCACATAATTCATAATGTTGCTACGTATTAAATAGTTTTCCTACAATGTTTGCATACTTATTGGATTTGATTAAAATGTCTCTATTTAGTTTGTTAGCTTTACTTGTATTTGCCTTTTTACCTGCACTGTCCCCTTTGCTGTAATTGTGATTTAAACACAAAGTGGAACCCTTTATTTTCAGGTACAGACACAAAAATGTCGATGTAAATACGATTAAATCCTGATCTTATGTCACACACTTAGTTGGGGTCCTCATCACAAAGAGCCCACTGTGGTCAGGATCCTCTGTGGAGAATGCATGGCTGCTCATCTGGACGTAATGTGAGGGAATTCACTGATGATGTGCAGAAACATCGGGGCTACTTTGGTTCACAGATAATACGTTATCCAAAACTAACACATGTCCTTCTAATACCAGGCAGGATTTCAAGATTGGTGCATCCTGATTATAACTGGTGATGTCATTGCTGTGAACTGGATCATGAATAATTGATTGTGGGTTCATAGAAGTTTAATTGGAGATGCACTATGATCTCACGGTTTCAACAGAAGGTTTTAATTATAATTTAATCTGTGGATTGTTTTCTCTATTACTGGTTTTGTTCATAAAATGTCAGATTTTTTTTTTAAAAAGCCATCACAACTTCCCAGAGCCCAATGTGACTTCTTTAAATTGCTTGTTTTGTTTCAAAACCTAAAAGTAAGGTTGAACGATATAGAAAATAATATATATTTTTGACTGATTTTGCAATGAGACACGATTAGTGGTGTTGGGAATGGAGAGAATGTTTTTTTGTGTCCTTTATTTTCAAGTATCTGTACCAAACAAAGATCTTTGGTGTGTAAAATTCAATCTGTAGTTTGGGACACCTTTCACAAATAGGGCACATCTTCGGATATTATCATGGTCTTTACTGCAATTTCCATAATATTACAATTAATTATTGAGCCCAATCCAAAATCATTTGATTATTATAATATGAGACAGAACATCAACAAACATTTTTCGATAAGCTAAAACCAGTGACTGCTGAGAACTTTATAGACCAAAACATTTATCAATGAATCCAGAAAATGGATAGTTTGGAGCCCTATAACTAACATTGCATATTTATCATTATTTGTTATCATGAATTCAGTCTTTCATCTTTAGACGCTCTATTAGTTTCATAAACGACTAAATCAAATTACATTACATATTATTTAGCAATTTACAATAAGTCAAATCAAACAGTTTTTTCTGCAGGATGGATTTCCCATAATATTCCCGTAAACGTGACGACTTGGAATAATAGGAAGTGGTCGCTGCTAGCTGCAGGTTCTTCCGTTAATAAACAAACACGTCTAACTTAGTGCAGCTCTGTTGATGCCCTGTAATCCCTCATGTCTTGTTGTTGTTTCTATTGTTGCTGACGGGATGTGATCTTCTTTCCATCCTGTAATGTTTTGGCAGGGTCTCCCTTGTTCGAGGTTTTTATCTCAATGTGACCTCTCGTTTAAATAAAAGCTATAGAAACTATGCCGGGATCTTAATGCGCTCTGAAGTGAACATTTGTGATGATCATCCCTACTAAGCTTTGACCTTCATTCTTCTTTATATTTAGCGTGTGAGGTGTTTATTTCCAGCAGCAGCAGCACCTGCCTCTGTGCTCAGACATGAATGTGTTGGATGCAGGGTGCAGCTGATGGATGGATGCAGTTTGTGCTGACTCTGCTGGTGACAGCTGGTCTGCAGCTGCTTTACAGCTCTGCTCAAAGTGAAGCATTACACAGGGACGTACAACAATGCCCCTGTAGACCTGTTAGTGCACTACTTGTATATATGTGTACTGTTGTCATATATTCATCTGTTTGAGTTACACCTGTGTCCTGTCCACATTTAAGTGTGAAAGCTTTATTTATGTATTGTTGTGCCTTCTTTTTTCATTATTTATATTATACCTGTATAATATAAATATAAAATATGTGTGTATATATATATCTGTATGTGTATATATCTATTTTTAAGTGGGTATTCAGGTGTGTATGTATGTTTAAATATTCTTATTCTTGGGGATGGTGAGAAACGGCATTTCTGTCTCCCTGTTTGTCACACACACACACATACACACACACAGAGAGAGACATTGATGATACAGTTGACTTTGACTGTGCAATAAAAGGGTTTCAGTCCATACCTGCGTTTATACTCGTCTCTCTCCCTCTTCACCTTGGCCAGCACATTGTACAGGGCTCTGATCTCAGGGGTGATGGTGTCGATCTGGACCCCGACTCCATCCGGCTGCTCCCAGGACACCCCGGGGCTGCTCAGGCCTGCAGAGGGGCCCATCTTACGGGTGTGGTTGTAGGACCAGATGGTGCCAGGCAGGAAGCGGGGAGGAGGGTTGGTGGAGCTCCCCGGACCGGAGCCGGTGCTGGAGAAACTTTTAGAGCCGGATCCAGGAGAGTCCACACAGGGCGAGGCCTGGCTGATGGTGATGGCCGGGTTACAGGAAGTGTAATTACTCTGGGTGGAGGTGAAGCTCTCAGATGGCAGGGGGGTGTTGTGTGTAGGTGTGAACAGCGTTGTAGGCCTCCTGGCTGAGTTGTTGGTGTTGTGGAAGGGGAGAGAGCCGGGCCTCAGAGGGATGGAGCCCACAAACCCAGTCTGCACCCCCGCCTCCTGAGAAGACCCCCTGCTGTCACAGCACCCCCCCTGACAGCCCTTGTTGGCATCATGTGCTTGTTGCAGCTGCTTCTCTAAAATCTTATTCCTGCGCTCCAACTCGTGCACTTTGGCCAGGAAGCACCTGAACCTCAGGTTGAGGGTCTTCAGGACGCTGATGTTGGAGCCCAGGTCGTTTCTGAGCGCCATGGCGGCGGGGGGGTGCGGTGCCGCGCGGTGATGGTACAGGCTGTTGTGATGGAGGTAAGAGGAGGGTGCGGTGAAGTCAGGCCCCAGATGATCAGGCCCCGGATGATCCCCCAGCAGAAAGGACGCCGCGTCCGGTCCACCGAGCAGGGTGTCGGGCAGGAGGCCTGAGGGGGAGTCCGGGTGAGAGGGGGCTGCACTCTGGTGATGGAGATGCGTATTCGCCTCCAACAAAGGATTCATGCTATGGTAAGGGAAACTAAAGCGCTGCAGATCTGGCATGAACACGGACGGGAATAGTCTTGCGACAGCAGAATAAAAAGGATGAGGAATGAACGAACCAGAAAGACAGGCGTACAACACACCGGTATACACCTGGTTATATAACCGAGTCTAAATCAGAATGTTAAAGCTGAGAGGTCTTAAGATGGATCAGGGTTTTCTCTCACCGTCCGCAGCCAAACATCCAAAGCGACTCCCAATGCGCTGCGAGGCGAGGACACAAAATGCGGAGCTGCGCCTCGGTGAGCTGTTCTGCAAAAATAAACTTGATTAAAACGAAGGAAAATGACGCAGAGCGTGCATGGAAACACAGAAACACCGTGTCACCGCGTCAGGGAAGATCTGGCAACAAGATGTGACCGCAGGCAGGAGCGAGGCTGCAGGATTGGAGTGCCTGGTACCGTAAAGACGCAAGCAGAGGGGCACTACAAAACAACAATATATTTGTTTGCACAAGAAAGAGTTCAGATACACATAAAATAATAATGATAAAATGCTCAATTAAGGTTTTTAAAACGGGATTACATCACCTGCTTTGTCAGACACCTGCCACATGTCCCACTTTCACTGTCCCAATCTGGTTTAGGGTAATGTCATTAACAGGAAATTGATCAGACATTTAAGTACAGCTAACATGATAATGGGTTTAGGATGCATCCTTTTTATCTTTTAGCCATCTGTGTCGTATCGCTGGGACTAGGTGCAGAGGTAGGAGAAGTACTCAGATATTGTACTTGAGTAAAAGTATAAATACCAGAGTTTAGGAATACTCTGTTACAAGTAGAAGTCCTGCATTCAAAATGTTATTCAAGTAAAAGTACAAAAGTATGAGCATCAAAATATACTTAAAGTACCGACAGTAAAAGTACTCATCGTGCAGATTGGTCCATTTCAGAATAATATATATGATATGTTTTATAATGATTGATCATGAAAGTGTTCTCAAAGCTGGTAAAGGTGCAGCTAGTTTGAATGACTTTGTATACAGCAGGGTAGCTTGTGAATTTACTCCAGGTAGAACTAAAGTCTGATTAAGTGTTGATTAGATTTCACATCATTCATCCAGATCTGTAAAGTAACTAAAGGTATTAAATACATGTAGAGGAGTAAAAGTACACAATGTACCTCTGAATTGAAGTGGGGCAGAAGTACAAAGCAGCATGAAATGGAAATAATCAAGTAAATTACAAGTACCTCAGAATTGTACTTAAGTACTTGAGTAAATGTTCTTAGTTACTTCCCACATCTGACAGGTGTAGTTTGTAGTTGACATTTCTTATTCTGTCGCAGCGGTAGATGATACAATTGAAACTAAGCACCAGTTAGCTTAGCTAGTTGCACCGATCGACTTAATATAACATTTTAATAAGCAGATGAATTGATTGTTTAAAATAAATGATTAATTTCAGTACAATAGCATTGGCCTAATTCGACCCCCTCCTGGAGTTGCTGTTAGAAGGCATCATCAACGACATGTTGCATCTGCAGAAAACTAGTTTGAGTTGTTTTTCCGGGATGATTTTCCATGATATTTCTTAGATATATGTGGTTTCCCAAACATGAAGCTATACATCCAGCAGTTAGTTTAGCTAGTTTAAAGGAACAGTTCATGTTTATACAACTGACAAGACAACAAGGTAAGAAAGTCCTTTATTAATGTTGTTTCAGCACGAGAAATAAGGCTCTGCACTCTCATGGTAAACACACGTTATTCTTTATTGAATTTTTAGCAAATTAGACCAAAAATAAATGTTTTTTACAGCACCTGTCTGTCTGTCTGTCTGTCTGTCTGTCTGTCTGTCTGTCTGTCTGTCTGTCTGTCTGTCTGTCTGTCTGTCTGTCTGTCTGTCTGTCTGTCTGTCTGTCTCTCTGTCTGTCTCTAGGAGAGAGGGAGGAAGAGGCGCGAGAGAGGGAAGATGAGGAGAAGAGAGAGAAGAGAGGGAGGAGAATGAGAGTAGAGAGAAGCAGTAGAGATAAGCGAGAGAGAGATAGAGCAGAGAGAGAGGAGCAGAGAGAGAGAGAGAGCGAGAGAGAGTCGAGAGAGATGCGACAGCTAGCAGCGAGAGCGAGAGATGATGAGAGAGGCTCTCTCTCTCTCTCTCTCTATCTACTATCTCTCTCTCTCTCTCTCTCTCTCTCATACCTCTCTCTCTCTCTCCTACTCTGATCTCTCTCTCTCCTCTCTCTCTCTCTCTCTCTATCTATCTATCTAACACACAAGTGCTGGATGTGGAGCATCTCAGGTCTCTCCTCATCGTCCTCCCATCGATGCTGCAGTGTCCACGTGGCCTCTCAGTGTCCAAGGCGTCTAAGTTCAGTGTCGTCCCCCCCCCCCCACTGAGGTATTATCAGCCCAGGAGTGGAACTCCCCTTACTCTTACTCTCCCTTCTCTTTTGTTTGCTCAGCTATCTGCTGTGTCTCTCCAAATTTGTGGACAATCCTGCCCTCTTCTCCGCCTTACCCTGGCCCGAAATCATGGCGTACATGTCGTACCTGAACTCCCGGTTCATGATGTGGTAGATCAGAGGGTTGAGCATGGTGTGGGACTTTGCAAGCATGGCGGGGATTAAGCTGACTAAAGGAGAGAAGGCGGACCTGGGGCTGCTGGGTTCACTCGGGGAGGCGATGGAGGCTGAATTCATCTCCACGCCGCTCCACCTGCTCTCAGGGTTGTAGTAAATGTGTCTGTAATATTCTGTAGCTGTCCAGTTGAGCAGCGAGGGGATGTCCAGGGTCTTAAGGGGATTCGCAGAGCTCGACTCCTGGTCCTCACTGGGAATGAGTGCAGAGATCAGAGAAATGGTGGCGTACGGCATCCAGGCTATGAGGAAGGAGGCACACACCACCGCCGCCATCTGAAAAACACACACAGATTCATTTGAGAACATGTTATAATATCCAGCAATAATAAAAGGTAAATTAAAACAATTTTGTATTTTTTTAAGTGTGTAATTTTGTTGATGTGCCTAAGTGCGTAGATAGGTAGGTAGGTAGATACTTTATGTATCCCAAGTTAAGGAATTGTTTTGTCAGAGCAGCATTTTCCCAGTGAATGTACAATAATAAAAAAAAGAATAAAATACAAATAAAATAAACCTTAAAATGTAAAAACAATATATTCTCAGTAGAAAATACATATATTCAGAAGAGGATATACTGCACACTATAACAATATATAGAATAAATAAGAATACTCTCTAATATACCAATCTGCTAACAGAAATATTTAAGCATAGTGCACAGTAGCTTTTAATTAAAAGTGAAAGGAAAATATATCATATTGAAAAATATTTAGTGGTTTACCTTTGCAAGTCTCAGGTCTTTGCCACTGTGAGAGACGGAGGCGGACGGTATAGATGCCAGCGTGCGATTGGATCTGTAAACCTGGAAACAGACGCAGTTACTCAAATGTATTTAAAAAAACCTTGAAATTTCAATTTCAACAGGATACCAACACACATCACAAACAACTGTGACAGAGCAAATTACAACTATAAAGACAAACATAGATACAGCAACATACAGAAAACAAACATTTGAATTTGACAATTTGAATGGACTTCTTGCAAAGACCCATCCACTTTGCCCTTTTAGACTTTAGGGTATATACTTGGCGTGTATTGTGTGTGAACTACTGTATGTTGTGCTGTGTATGGTGAGAGTTGTTTCCTATGCCCAATTTCCATTTTATGTATTGTAATCTGAAACAGTAATTTGGCTGCCCCCCCTGCAGTTACTTACAGAAACCCCTAGGGGTCACACACTCCCTATTAGAGCCCCAGGGGTCCTATGAAAAAACAACTTTAATGATGAACACTAAGAGGCTCTATGAAGCTCATATTCCCTCTGGAGACCTGCGTTGTAACAGCTCTTTACAGGTCTGTGTAAAGCAAAAATAAACCTGTTATCTGAATTTGTTTCACCACTAAAAATGTGTAGTTAACCCCTGGATAAACTTGAATAATAGTTATACAATCGTAAAGAATATAGCAATGTGGTTTCAAAACCGTGAAACAAAAGCAGTATTATTTGCTCTAAAAATGCTGGCGGAGATACTTAAAACTACCACAAACAAAAATGACAGCTCATTAATCTTAAAGCTTTTTAAGGCCCCGGGCGTCTCGGTCAATGGACTTTTTATGTTTGGTTTATTTGGGAATCCCCTGTTGTGTCCCAGAGGATGTTGGGGTCATATATTTATATCTCCGCCTTAAAACTAACACGAGGTGGTGCCAGAGTTCCTATGTTCACATTCTTCATACACAGTGGTGCAGGAATGAGTCCTAAAACCCAGAAATTAGTTATCATGTTTCCACTCCAGGTTCCCTTTTTTGGTTAGAAGCATGAAATAATGTCTGTGATTAAGAAAAGCTTAACAAATTATTTGGTTTCACAGTCTGTGCATGCTTGTTGGTAGCATCACTTTTGTATACACAGCTTGAGTGAAAAGCTCCAACAAAAATATATCCTCAATTAAGTCAAAGCCCAATCTAATGAGTATGCAGATTTAATAAGCGTTTGGAAGATAGGTAAAGTTTAGCCAGGCAGAGACACATAAAGACATAGGCAAAGAGAGGTGAAGAAATTGAGTCCTTAGCTCGGAAATAAGTGAGCATTTTAGCTCTTAAGTCCAAGTCAATGTTTTTTTTAAAGGTTAGATAAAATACATCAGTTAGTAAATACCCCAATGGTGAATGCTTGAAGCTACATATGGCGCGTTTCCACTACAGCGCGAAAAGGCCGTTCCTAACAAGTGACTAAATGAAACGACTAAACATCACACTGACTAAACCATAGACTGTATATATAAAGCACTAAACATTAGCCACCTTTAGCTTAGCAATGCTGACGTTAGCTGTTTTCCCTCTGGGGATTTCATTGACACTTAAAAAATCAATAAGTGGCATTAAAGGGGACCTATCATGCAAAATACACTTTTTGATGTCTTTTATACATAAATATGTGTCCCCGGTGTGTCAGGGAACTCAAGCAGTCAGAAAAATAAAACCCTCTCTCTTTTCCTCCATACCCAAATCTCTAAAAACGGGGCTACAACGGAGCTGATCCATATTTGCGGCCGATATGACGTAATATCGGCGGCGGACCCACAGCACTATCAGAAACAATGCCCGACTGTTTTGGACGTAATATGGTCGGTGTTTACATTAGCATCGCTAACACTCAGAGCTAACCTGTACTGGAGAGAGCATGTGTGTGAAGAAGCAGGAAATAAAAAGGAACTCACCTTGTGGTATAACCGGCAAAAGAGAAAGCCTTTGAGCTCCATACTGTTTCAGAAATAATCCTTGATCTAATAATCCTTGCATTTCATCACCGCAGCATTTTAGACAGTATCTGCCAGGTCCCGCATGAGCAGGCATAAGCTCCGCCCCCTCTTATT